TGTCCAGCGGTAACATCTCTGATTCGCCCGGGTAGCTTGGATATCCAAGAGGCTAGGATTGCAATCTGTCTTCGCTTATGATCACGAACCATCCGCGGGCTCTTCCGGCGATGAATATTGACCACGTTGAGGGAAGCCGTTAACGTTGCTGTCATTTATCAATGGTCGGGGGCCGCCCCGAGGGCCGAGTGACAATGGAGCCTGAAGGACGACGAGGTATGTATTCGTGGAGGGGCAGGGGAAAAGAAGAAGGCAGGGTCCCCCGCTCCAAGACGACAGCGGGCGTCCGAGCTGTCCGACACAGCCAAGAGCATGATATCCAAAGAAGCAGGAGGGGAGATGATCCGCGGCCAGACCCGGGGTCTGGCTGAACCTTGATTTTTCTGTGTGTAAAAAGTGTGGACTTTGAGTCTGTGAGCTACCAGCTTTGACGGACGAGAAATGCGGCCCCGCCAGCGAGGCGGCTTGAGTTTCGTGGGCTTGCCAAGGGCCCCGGGATGCTCCCAGAAACGTTCCGCCAGCGGCAGGGAGTTGCTAGAGCCAAGTTTGACTGAGCTCACCATAGTTAGAACACCCAGGGAGGGAAAGGTTAGAGGGCGTGGAGGGGTATGGCTTCTCATCCGGTTCGGTCTCTTTGAAAAGCCCTCCCCCTGCAGGGACGGTTTCCAACAGAGAGCCCTAAAATCTGGGGTTGAGTTGGAGGAGGAGTGGTGGTTCAGCTCGTAGGGCAGGCCACGGTACCGATTCGTAGAGCCTCTCTGTGGCTTGTTGATAATCAGAGAAAAAGGAAGCAGAGAGGTGTCGTTATGATACGATCCTGTGGAAAGGATGGGGCTGGACCTTCTCGCCATGGTAATATCTCTGCCCTAAACCTTGACGACGACCTTGAGTCTGCCCAGCGACTCGACTCTCTTCGGATGGGACCATGAAAGATGAACTACGCGACACTCGGGTTCCGCCCGAAAGTTTACATTGCATGTCTGATGCGCAAGAAGAAGTTCCAGTAGCTTCTTTTGTATAGCATAGGCACATGTTTCCTAATCTGTTTCTCTGCGAGTCAACAACCACGTTACAGCCCGAGCCCGTGAAACCCTGAGGCGTGAACATCTTGCCAAATCAAACTTGGGACGTTCTAGGGGCAAAAATGGGACATTTGGCAATCTCGATGGCTCATGGCTGAGGGCGCGCGCCAAGCCTCCACTGCCCACTCGTGATGGCGATACCTCGCCTCATTGACGCAGTAGTCCTAGAGTGAGAAGGGTCTGGAGCGGCGACAAAGATGCCGTTGTCTGCCTGCCAAGAAGAAAGATTTGGCGACGGTGCGACGCATCCCTTCCTGAATGCTCTCAGCAATGCCTAGGTCTAAGGTTGCCAAGCCGCAAGGCAAGGGGGCAACTCGGGGATACTGTCATTAGCAAAGGCTGAAGAGGAAAGGCGCGGCTGGCGCATGAGCCAAGCCAAGTCCAGAAAGCGGCATTCCGTTCCGATGCCATCTAATCGATACCCATGGTCGCCAAGGCTTAGGCCCCAATCGAGGTCGATTGTGAAGGGTTCTGAAGTTTCTGTCACCGTTTGTGAGGCTCCTTTGGCTTGATCACCGCGCGCGAACGTTGGACGGGGGAGGGGAGGGGAGGGGAGGAGAGGGAATTGCGTGGAGTCATTTTGCGTTTCGCCCAAACTTGATGCTTGGCTTAAGCTGGGAAGAACCAAGGACCTTGCCGTGCAAGCCGGTAAGTGCTACCACGAAGCTTTCAACTGACTGCTTGTCGCATTTTTCCCTAGCCCGGAGGCGCCTAGCGTCCTGGGGAGGGATTGTAAAGTGTGTTTAACAGATGCGGGCTAACGGGGTGGAAAGGCTAATAATATGGTTGATTTGACTGACTATTGAGACTGTCGGGTGTGTTGTCAGACTCGGTTGCAGACAATACGCAGTACGTTTGGTTGTCTACCTATCTGCTTACGTGCTTGACTTTGTCGACTTGTTTCTGTGAGATTATGTTGAGAATGAACAATCTCGTTCACTCCGGTGTGGTTGATCTAGACCTTGATGTCTTGGGTTTCTCGTCCCTGGAGTCTATTGTGCACGTTCTTTTTTGGGGGCTAAATCAGCATCTGCCGGGATAGGGGCTAATTATTCCTGGCCATCATTGTCTCCCATTGAGGCACATGGGAAAGGTGCAGTGCAGATCGAGACGGAGAGAGGAGATTGAGGCCATAGTGTCGGGCGCGGTATCTGGCCCCTCCCACGTGGGACAATCAAGGGAAGCAAATTGCCTCCGGTGGAGTTGTCCAGGATGACGACTCAGTTGTCGGCTTAGAAAGCGTGATCTCTCCAACTGTCCTGGCATGTGGCCATTTTAGCGGCATGTCATTGTTATGGACGAGGGCTCGACATCCATGTGCCCATCTTATTGCTTTGATAGATTCTTCCCAGACCAGAACGCAACACCAGACATCTTTGAGGCGTCTTGGAAGGTCATTAGATCATTGGGTAATGGTTAGCAATACCTCGCTTGTAGTCCTTGCAGGCTTGCAGTGGTTTGCATGTCCTTGAACCCTGGACTCTGGAGATGGGGATGGAGGGGGGATAAACCCGCTGCATAACCATCCTTGTATCCCACGGAATCACTGCGGACCTGCGGACTTGCAGGCCCCCTTCTCTACACTACACTCTGCTTGCTGCGACGAACCAGGACAAGCTTGGCGGCTAAAATAGGCTTGGGTCTGATTGATGAACGTGACGGGTGGGCGAGAGATGGGTATTTCTAGCCACCTGATACGGCAGACATTATCAATGCTAAGCCGTACATAGATGTTGAGACATAGGCTCCGCAGATCAGGAAATAATGACGACTTGCAGGATGGTACCAAGTATCCGTTCACCACAGAAGCTCAAGCAGCGTGCAGATTGCAGCGCCCCATGCCTGCAGGAACCTTTCCCCGGTGCCCGCAAGTCTGCAATACCTAGAGGCTAGTTCCCAGGAATAGAACATCTGTTGTTGAACGACACTTCGTCTCTGAGACACCAACCTCGTGCTGGTTCCTGATTTGCGTGCCAACATAGGACGCTCCAAGTCTCAACCAGTCTAGTCGTCAGGGACACCGAAACAAGTGGCACAGAAACAAAAAGAAGCCGGAACAGTCCATATCTCGCTCTGTGCCCATGGGCTCATTCCCACGGTGCCACCCCGCGCCATCTCTCAGCTCCTCCCAGCTCTGCCCCAGTTCTGTCACTTTGAACCGGGACGCGGGCCCCCGGGAGCTAGCCCCAAGACGCCAAAGCCAGGGTCTCGATCAACCCGGCCACTATCTTGTTTGCGCAAATGCTCAGAAGCAGGCCAGGTCGAGGGCTGGGAGTACCGGTACGAAGTACAAGTAAGCGTACTTGTGAGTTGTGCGAATACCTATCGAGCGTTGTTTCCAACTTCACTAGGCTCGCAACACTCACTGCACGTTCATCTTCAGCCTGTCTGCCAGGGCAGATGACACACTTTGGTTCTGGTTTGAGCACAAGCGCACGAATCGTGCTAGAGTCTGAGAGGCACATCAGAGTGCGCAAGAGACGGTAGAAATAAGTTAGACAGCAAGGCGGTTCGTGCTCTCCATGCACATGGAGAAGATGAAATGACATCAAGCCCCCTCGGTGCCAGCATGAGCCGGGAGCTCCCCTGCCACGTAGCAGCAACGACACTGATGTCCAAGACTATCTATCGCTTTCTCTGATCGTTATAGCACCATCAAGTGGCATCGCTTGGAGTGTTGATGGACAGCATGAAGCCTAAGAGCGAGTATTCGTACGGGCCAGCAGTAGGCGGGCTGGTAGAAACAACCCGCACGCCCATCTGATCTTCAACAGGCTGCCCTGGATTTCTGGGGGCATCACAGCGCTCTCCTCCACTCCTTGGATTCATCATCGTGGGCCCCCCCAGTCCCGGTCTTGGTCCCCAGAACATCCTCTGATCCTCCACTCTCTGCGGATATTCATACTACCTAGTCTCTACGGGACTACTACTAGTAGTAAGCCTATGGATACAGGTACTCCATACAGTTACCCAGGCCTGAAGACTACCATTCTGCGGTGGCCCCCTCTGGAGTCTGGCATGCGTGTCTCTCCTCGCTTCTGCCCTTGCTTCAACACAAAGTCCGTGCGAGTGCAAGGGAAAAAGTCAAAACAGGCCACTTTTTTTCTGCTTCCCAAGGGCCAACGGGCGTGCCCATATTGTGACTGCACCGCCTCGACGTTTCAGGGGGGGAGCAGTGTTGCAAGCAAGGCCGCTGGTTGAAGCCAAGCGATGGAAGCGTAGCGTTCAGAGAGACTCACTGAAAGGGCCAGCATACAACTATCTGGATACGAAAAAGTGTGTACGGAGTAGTCTTTACGTACGCAGATATCATAGAACGTCGGAGGTACCATGCAGACTGTACTGACTATTCTCACAGGAAGACATGTGCGAGGCCAAGCCTTCCATGCATGTGCTTTGCTCGGGCTGACGAGCAAGACAGGCTTCGTTTCCCTTTCTCCTCATCTTCTTTCCCACTCACCGAGTCACCACTCACCACTCAGCAGTCTCCTTTGCTCTCTCTGCTGGATCTTTCGTACTCTACTTCTGATGCGCACGGACTGGCGCATGTATTGCCAGCTAGCATCCGTAGACGCTAGCTCTGTATACCCGCATGCGGCGTCCAGCCCGCCAGACATTTGATCCTAGATGGTGGCAGCTGAGTGAGTGAGAGAGAGGGTGAGAAGGAAGAGGGAGAGAGAGAGAAAGGAGCCTGAGAAGATGGCGGAGGGGAATTCTGTTAGTGCTGGTACATCAGCACACCCCATTCTGCCTTTCAATTTGCCAACAGAAATGAGCATTGAAGAGACTGGAGGCATGTATCCGTACATGGCTGGCTCCGGTTACTGATGAAGGTCGTAGTCGGTGACCCCTAAATTTGTTCCGCCCTTCATCATCAAATCATTCCCGTTTGTCACCTTCATCATCCTTCTCTGCGCCAAACGAGCGAGCAAAGCGGCGTTCCAAGCCATAGAAGCCAAGCAGACAAAATACCCTCCAGCACAGCCGTTGCCTCGCGGCGGCTTTGCCTAATCCAAAATCACCATCCCACGTCTCCCATTGCTTTCCCCATCCCTACCTTGTCTTTTTGCTTGCCCACACACCCCAAGCTGGCTGCGTGTTCCGTTCCCCTAGACTCCTGGTAGCCTTGACCCTCTCTGGGTCTACCTGCTCGTCCTCTCTCTTCCCCGTTCTCCTTCGTCCAACCCCTGGTTCCCCCCCTCCGTCAGGTTACACTTCTCAAAAGGGGGGGTTGCAGGATACATTGTCTGCAGTACTTGACTTGACCACCACCCAAGCCCACCAAACAAGACCAAACCAAACGCCTCAAGTCTCCGTCGTCCCGATACCGAATATCAATCCCTCATGATCACCATGGATCAGACCGCTCCCTCAGCCTGACTGCTCGCTCGATCAAATCCATGCGCGCCATGCCCGAAGCTTAATCTCACATCCCAGGCCCCTACCAGTAGACTGTAGTCTTGTCTTGTCCTCCTCCTTCTGCCCAACAACCATAACATAACATCACTTCTACATCCCATTTCCTCCTTAACTCCTTCGGCAATTACTGATCTTCGCCCGTCCACTGCAACGCCGGTTCCCCAACGTACTCTCCAACGCACTCTCGACTTGCTAGTTACATTCAACGAACCCGGACTGCACACACACACATACATTCTCTGCCCGCACCGCCAAAAGCCCACAGCATCAACCCGAGGACGACGGCTATTCAACCTTGGCAATACAGAAATCGAGGAGGATTCACACCGTTGAAGAGACAGAATCCCGAGAACGCAACGCTTACACGTATTAATCATCAACGACCCGCCACTGGCCTCTATCGACCCAGATTTCTTGCGTGTCCTGGCCGTGTCACTCTTGTTCTCTCCCCACAGAACTTTGTCTGTTGGAGCACATCGAATGGACTACCCCACCTGAATCTTGATTCACAATGGTGAGTGCAGCACAGCAGCTTCTCGTCATCGCCTATCTCCGTCGAGGCATTCCACTTTCATCAGGTGTTGTTGAGTGTTGATGTACTATCATGAACGTCATCGGCGTTCATGATATATCATCGTCGCCTTCGGTCACCTCGATCACTCGACCATGCGTTCCCTTCCTTGACCACTAACCATCGGGGGGCCTCGGCGCCTCTGCCCCTCCGTCGTCACCATGCTGACCTTTTCCGTCTCCAGCCCGTCGCAAAGGCGTGCGCGCCGTGCTACTATCAGAAGTCAAAATGTACCTTCTCGGAAGGTAACCCGCAATGCGATCGCTGCATGATGAACGGGCGGGATTGCGTCTTTGTACGCCCCGTGCCAAGGTCAGCAGTCAAGGGGAGGTCAAAGGTCGCAGTCAGGAGCAAGATCATGGGCAACGGTGTGCCATGTCCGAATCCGATCCCTCGAAAGGCCAACGTGATTGTCCCGACGACAGCGCCACCGACGACGACGACGACGACGACGACGACTGTCGCCCGCGTCAGCTCCCCGCCGTGTTCCGTATCACGAAAGCCGAGTATAGCGACGGCCTCGAGCGTCGGCAGTCCTCCCGACGATGCTTCGTCCGACTCGTCAACCGAATCGGCATCGAGTCCTCCTTCCAAGATCCTTGAGTCACTCAGTCCGTACGGTAGCACGCTGGGCCGGTTAGATACCGTCGAACGCAATTCCCTATCGCGATTACTGCACAAGTCCAACTTCATGCAGTACTTCATCAGCCCAACGTTCGTCGACAGCATGCAGTTGGACATGACAGTCCATCTGTTTTCCATGTTCGACCAGGGCAAGGACGCCTACATCGCCATGTACAGCGCATTCGCCTCATCAATGGGATTGGAGACGGGCGAATACGACCCGGAAGCGAATCTACACCGCGGCGCAATGGCTGTCGAACACCTTCGATCCTGTCCACTGCCTACACTCAAGCGCGACGAACTGCTACCGTGGGCAGGCTTGGGATTGGGAATCGTGTACTTCTCCAACATGGCCCTCGGCACCAGTGCGGCGCCTGTACGACGATACGTGCTTAGCCACATTCGCCATCTTCTAGGAACCTCACAAATATCCAGCTCACGGACACACTATATCCTTGTATACATGACGGCTGTCGACATCAACGAATGCCTGATGCAGCGCGAACTTCCAGTGTGTGGAATCGCACCTCCTGAAGCGGGCCATGTCGATGCGTATGTTGGCGTGTGTATGCCATTGCTGCAACACATGTACGACTTGTGCCGAATCAGCTACCATCTCTACCACGAAGTCGACGTCGAAGAACAGACGCAAGCATTGGACGAAGTGGAGCAAGAAATCGAAGCATGGCAGCCTGTCATCCCGCCAGACTTTACAAACCGCTTTACCACGACCGAGGTCATCCACATGCTGGCCCAAAGCCGCATCTACAAGACGGCAGCAATGCTGTACATTCACCGACTAAGGTACAAGTTTGGCGAGAAAGATGATATGGCATCTGCAATGGCAAAGAGCATCATCTCAGACCTGCAGATGACGTTCACAGTCTCGCAAGACAAGCAACGCTGTGTCAGCTTTCCGTACACCCTTGCAGCCATCGAAGCAAAGGACGCGGCCGAGCGGGAGATTGCCATGGATGCCATCAAGTCGCTCATCGATAGCGGCAACAGCAAATACCGCAGCAGCATGGAAACATTCCTCAAAGCCGTGTGGGATATTCGGGACAACCAACCAGGAGCATCTTGGCTCGACTTCATGCAAACTCTGCCGCCGATCTCGGTGGGCGTATAGCGGAGCGGTCCCTTTTTAAGGTTTTTCTTTTCTTTTCTTGACCTGGACTGTCTTCAAGACTTATGGATTTATTCTACTTTTGCTTTGGGGCGAGGCGGTGAGATATCATTCTGTTTATGTACACGGCTGATGGGAAATACTCCTCATGGTACGATTGCCGCAAGGCAACTCCACGGAGGATTTGAGTTTTCTTTGTCTTTTTTTTTTCTCCGTTCGTTGGCTTAACGTGGAGGCACCTCATCAAGGAGTCGAGGCCTGCACTACATACACTCTTGTGTTTTTTTCTTCTTCTCTCTATGGCACGGCGGTGACTGCGGGATGCAGAGGAGCATGACGGGACTTTTGCAGCAATGCTCAAAAAAGGGAACGGGTTTTTAGAAGCCTCGGTAGGAATCCGAAGGTTACGAAAGGTGTCTGCCCACCATGGGAGGGGCCCCCCAAAGAGACATCATGATCTACCTATGGGTTTGTGATACCATTCTCTCGTTTCATTACCAATACAGACTTCACAATCTCCATATACCCCCCCGCTCATTCTCCGATCGCCTGGCCTCTTTAGTGCAACTGACATGTCTGATCGTTTCCTGCCCAACCTCAACCTGATGATCGAATCGCGACACTGCTAAAAGAAGCTCCCGCAAGTCTATGTCGCGCCTAATGGCGGTACCTGACGTTTCATGCCAGCACACGTCCTGGGCGTGCGCTCAGACTTTGCATGAATTAGGCCCATGTGTAGCCGAGAACCTTGTTCGCTCCTCGCTAAATCTAAACGGGGATCAACTATCACGCGCCCTCAAAGTCAAATACAGTACGTCCGTCTGTACTGCAGGTATGGATGAAAGGAGCGATAGTGTAATCCGTCCCGCAATGAATGGCACCATATGCCACATGCTAGACGAAGAGTCGTTGTTTGCTTTTCACTTCGTACGATTTCTGATTTTGTCACTTTTTGCTAAAGTGCCATCCGGTCCACGGGTTACACGGTGGCAAAGTTCACCCTGAAGACCCCTACGTACCTAGGTTGCGTGTGAGGGCAGTCTAGTTCCCTCGAGGCCGGTCGACGAGGGTGAACTCCAATGCCCGTAAAGCATCTTTGTGTATGTAGAATAAGTCTGCGGGGCATAGCCAGTAGCCCCCCTTTGCGCCATCGCGGGAGCTTACCATCGCCTCGGTAGTGATCCGTCCGGAAGAGTCAAGGGTCAAGGAAATTATGTTGAAGATTATCGTCGAAACTTGCTGAGTAGACAAGACTGGTGTTTGGTACTTAGCATGCATTTCTACGACGTTGGTCCCAATTGAAGCTTCGGAGGATGCGCGTCCGTACCTAACTCGGTTAACTCGATGTCCTGATGATACACGTAATGGACGTTGAGCGGCGCGGAACCCCACGAACTAACACGAAAAGGTTCTGGCTGGGTCGATCCATTTAGTTATTACTCACCGTGTCAGTGATAGTCGGAGATTTGATAACGAGTAAGTTCTGCATGGTACCGTGTCAATGTTCTTGAATGTTCATGGATCTTTTTTTGGATAGTCCCAGCATGTTGAACCTTATTGATATTGATCAAGGGCCTTTTGACACGCCAACTCTTTCCTCTTCGGCAGCCCGTACCGAGGCAAGTTGCCTCTTAAGGCGAGCTTATAACCATTGTCAATATGGCTATTCAACTGGCATCAATGATAGATTGAAGTACAGGGGCTGCAGCCGCGAACATAGTATGCAGCAGGGTTCTCGCTGCATCCTTTACGGGCTTGCCCGGTGACATATTCCCACAAGAGGGGCAAACCCCCGAGTCGAATATGACATTGAGGCATTGAAGCATCGAATCAAAGAAGCCTCTACACCGGTCTCAAAGACGACTGATTAGACAATCACTCTAGATTTACAAAGATCAGAGAAACCAGAAACATCAGACACGTGGTGGCTGGAAAAAATAAAGGGACGCCTTACATAGTACGCGTTCGGGGACCTCGGCGAAGCTTATAGGACCTGTTCAAAGCTTGATACTAGGACGCATGCGGACGGAGTCTACTCCGTCATCAAGCCTTGTGCGGGCGCGCTGACGACGGGAAGAACTGAAAGCGGTCAAGCCATGTCCCATGGCTCATTGTCCATGGGTACAGTCAGCCTCCCTAGGCAAACAAGCAGGTGCTGCGGTCTTTTGCGCGCTTCATCTCGCACTTTGTCTGGGCGGCGCTCGCACTTTACATCTCGAGTCAGGAGGAGCGGGGCCTGTGGGATAGTTCGCTCGGCCTCGGATCTCTCGTAAGCGCCGAGGCCGAGGGATCCTGACCATCGACCTAGAGTCCATCACCCACCTCGAATGAAGGAAGAGCTGTTTGTTGTTCAGCCCCCAGCAAGTTTGCCGCGAGTCGAATCATATTTGTGCAAGCCAAGACAAAATAGCAACGGATTGTCGAATGCGATCTTGTGTTGCGTCGTATCGCATCGGGATCTAGTGTCACCCGGATTCTCCATACCGGCCCCATGGGACCGGATCCAACATCTGCCCCCGGAGCTGTCCGGACCTCGCCCACACAAGCGCCCGACACGCCGCAGCCGGGCCAATCCCAGCCCCCGACGGCCGCCGGGGATGAGAGCGGAAGCAACAGCAGCAGCAGCAGCGTGACCCGCCTCGGCATCGGGAGCAGCAGCGGTGGCCGCAAAATCGAGCGGTCCTGTCAGCTGTGCCACCGCCGCAAGATTCGCTGCGACAAGAAGCAACCTTGCGCTTCGTGTGCCCGTGGCGGCTTCCAATGTCACTATCCACAGGCGGGCCAGCCGATTCGCCGCGTCCGAAAGACCACCATCGCGGACGTTGCAAGCCGGATATCGGACCTGGAGAAGACGCTTGTGGCCGGAGCGGCAAGCCAGCAACAGCAGCAGCTTCCAGCTCTCCGCGCTTCACCATCGGCCTCCACGCCCGGGACAGCTTTTGGTTTGGGTTTGAGACCAAATCACTCTCATCCATCAGTATCCAGGCCAACCACAGCGCCAGCTTCGGGTCCGCATGAGAAGAGTGTCAACGATGAGATTCTTTTACGGAAGGGATCGTCAAGTCAATACTTTGACGATGTCCTGATATCTCGGGTCATTGAGGAGGTAAGTGATTCTTTCATCCACTTGAGGCATGTGATGGTCGGCTGACAAGTCATCAAAAGGAACATGACATTCAGTCAGTTCTCACTACACCACAAAGTAGTGAGTCGGCAGCTACGGCGGAGCTGTCGCCATTTAATCCCATGGGCATTCTCTCAGCACCAGATCTCAAACTAGATCTTGCTGAGCTCCTGCCTCCAAAGTACGGCGCCATAGAACTATGGAGGAACTATGTCGACAATATCGAGATTTGCAACAAGATACTCCACCGGCCGACAGCAGAAGTTCTGGTCTACACGGCCATCGACGACCCTCGCAACGCGAGTTCAGAAGCCCTAGCGGTCATGTTCGCCATTTTCTTTGTATCAACTGTTGTTCTAGAGCCCAATTCGGTCCAGAGTTTCACGGGCGAGGACAAGGTGACGAGCCTTCATCGCTTCAAGACAGGACTCGAGCAAGCTTTTGCCAAGGCCGACTTTCTTGAACATCCTTCGGTTAAACTGCTCGAAGCCTTGTCTGTGTACTTGGTATGTATACCCACACTAGACACTATTTTTTCTTGTGCTTACACTAAACGCAGGCGGCTCTGAGGATACACAACCCCGGTCGAGGCTTGTGGACGTTGAACGGACTGGCCATCCGGGCAGCCCAATCGATCGGTCTGCACCGAGACGGGACCAAGCTCGGCCTCTCGCCCTTTGAGTCCGAGATTCGTAGACGCATTTGGTGGCATCTCGTCGCGCGGGATGGTCGAGCAGCGGAAGACTATGGCTTTTCAAACGTTTCAAGCTTCAACCTACAGATAGGCGTCAGCTTCCCGTCAAATCTGGACGACGGAGACCTGTATCCCGAGATGAAGGAGCTCCCACACTCTCGCACCGGCTGGACGACGTTGACGCTGGCACTAATCAACATCCAAGTCACTCGCACATGGCACCGTCTAGCGGCCATGGCCTCGTCGTGGGCCGAAAACCCAACACCGGAATCTGTCCGCGCCCAGGTCGTCCAAGAACTTCACGAGTACGCGGAAGGCTTCCTTCGACACTGCAATCCGGTCATCCCTCAACAACGCCAGACCCTTCTCGTTGCACGGTTTATCATTCGCAAGGTCGACATGGTTACACGCCAGCAGTGGCTCAACCTCCAGCACCCAGAGGCGCGCGACTCGTTTGCGACGGAGGAGAATCTTCACCAGGCGCTCGGTATTCTCGAGGATGGCATGAGTCTGGCGTCGGACGAGCTCCTGCGACAATATCGGTGGTCTATGCGGGCGTATCCCCAGTACCATATGCTTCTCTACGTCCTGTGGCACTTGTGCGTGAAGCCGGAGGGACCGAGTGTCGATAGGGCATGGAAGGCTGTGGACGATAGCTTCATGCTTTTGAAGAGCGTAAACGCCGGTTTCGGGCCCGCGGCGAAGATGACGGTTCTAGAAACACTGAGAGCCAAGGCCACGGCAATACGACAGGGTCTTGACCAGCAGAACGGCGGTGGTGTCGCCGTCGTTGGCGGAGGGACTACCAACGGGAGCGCCGAGAAAGAATCCTACCCGACGCCTGGTGGCACCGATGATAGATCAGAAGCGGAGGGTATGGTGGATAGTGGACTGGATAGCATGGCGGCCGCCGACGGAATGGACTGGGCCGGCATGATGCAGGATTTCCCCGACTGGACCACACTGATGAACGAGTTCCAGGTAGACGGTTTGGATTTCCCAAACTATCTGAACTGATTTTGTTAGTGCGCGGAGTTTTGGACAGGCAGATACCAACCCCAATCAACCATGGACATTGCATCTACAGTCTCTCTGGCTTTGACCTGCTTTTGAGCTTTGCATGATTTCTGGAGGCAGTGATGTTGTGGACGTCCCTGGTCTCGATATTGACCACCGCTTCGCAACCTTGCACGCACATCTCTCGCCTCAGTCCCCTCGGCCGTCAGTTGAGGCCGTCTGCTCCTCTTCTGCACGTGAGCCTCGAGCCCTGCCCTGCCCTGCTTCTCTGGGCGAGAGCTTCAAGCTCGGCTCGCGGGCTGGCGCGCTGAGCTTCAACAACAGCTAGAAGGAAGGAAAATTTCAACCAGCGTCGATGGTTTAGTGGTAAAATTCTCCGTTGCCATCCAGCAGCGTCGGGGAGCCGGGGGTTCGATTCCCCCTCGACGCAATTCTTTTGCTGATGACAACTTTTCGTTACCTCGATGGCGACTTCTCGCTTTTTGAGGTCATGTAGCTTGACTGCGATCAATTCCTGTGCATTTGAGCAAATAGAATCAGACCTTAACGATGGAATGTCTGCGTAAATGTTGTTATGCAATTCTTCCTTTGGTTACCTACAGGTACCTTGCATGCACGTCAAATGAGTGCTTTGCGTTGGTTCGAATATTAGCATGTCTAACTAAGAATGGAGTTTTTACATTTTTCAGTGGTCCTGCAGAGTACTTTTTGTGCCCCTCGGCCGCCGATTGTAACCTGCTGTAGGTTTTCAGTACAGTTTGTTCTATTTAATTGCAGCATTGCCATATTGTGACATTTCCACCGTCCCATATACATCCTCTGACTTGCTTCCACCGATTTCACAGCATGTCGTGTGATTGCGCTGTGTTGATGCAACAGACACGATGGGGTAAGCTCCTGTAAATCACATGTATCTTGACATAGAAGACCAGACTAATGCAAAGTTGCGATAGCTACTCTCACTACTACGACGTCAAAGATTGGAATAGTCCACAATGGCGCAAAGTATGGCCGCGATTCATCGAAGATTCTTTATTGATCATGGAAGCATCAGACGTTCGTCTCATTGAGACTGAGCCTTGTCATGATTACGATTTGGAAGCTACTTCGCCACCCGTTTGCACTGTGGAAAGGGGCATCAATTTCAACGGGTTAGGCGACGCGGGCCATGAGCCATTCTTTCTTTGCGAGCAGGAGCCATGTCAGGTAAAGACGAATCGGAAACCGTACGACCTGACTATCTCCTGCATCCTACTCCGAGCCTTTGCTCTTTGCCCCAAAAATATCAAAATTTCGTATGTCCCAGACACTTGAAGCTTTTTCTCGACGAGACCCTGATAATCAAAGGTCCGATGGCTATTGGAACGAGTATATCTGGGAAAATGCCCGTGAGCTTTACCGGAGTCTTTGGCCCAGTGAATGCATCCACTGCCCTTGGGGTAACGAGACCGATGATTCTAACGAAGACGAATTTGAACGAGAATGGAGAAAGAAACACCTGACACTCCCACCTAAAAAAGCTTCCAAAAAGAAAAGCCAGAGCCGAGCCATTAGACAAAGCCGGCTGAAGTTAAGGACCGGGATGCGTAGCATTCGTGCTAGTCCGATGTCTGGAGTTTCCATGGTTCGATTTGATGCCATTCGGGATAAAATTTCTCATTGCGCAACAAGCTATGAGCACCAGAAATGCTGCCCAGACTCGCTACGGTGGCGCAATTTCCCCGGAATCCGTTTTCGGCTCATTGATGTCCGTCGAAAATGCGTCGTGGATGCTCCGGATGACTTGCCTTTTGCAGTTCTGTCATACGTTTGGGGCAGTGTGGATCAGGTCAAGCTCACGTCTGAGAATGTTCGTGAGCTGTCCCGACCGCAGGGGTTGGATTCGGTTTGGAGTCATATCCCAACGACAGTCCGAGACGCTATGATGGTATGTGAGCGTCTTGGGGAAGCCTATCTATGGGTAGATGCGCTCTGCATTTTGCAAGACTCTGCTCGCGATAGGAAGGTTCAGATTCTGCGAATGCGGTCCATCTATTCTGCGGCTAAGTTCACGATTGTGGCAGTATCTGCAAGGCACGCTGACGAGGGATTCCAAGTGCAGCGAAGCGCGGCGGTTTCGCCAGAGTGCAACTCTATCGACGATCTTGATACGTTCTTGGCAGAGTCATCCTGGGGTAGTCGAGGCTGGTGTTACCAAGAACAAGTATTATCTCATCGAGCAGTTTTTTTCACTTCCAAGGGAATTTTCTTTCAGTGCCAGAAGGCCACATATCACTTGGACGGTACAGTACTACCGAAGACAAGTTACACGTCGTCAACACTCAGCGGCAACCAGTTCCACGGACTAGGCAGTCTCTTACATATTCCGCAGGGCAAAAGCCTGGAATGCTTTCTTGCTGCCGTAGAAGCCTACTCAAAGCGAAGCTTCACTTATGCAAAAGACAAGATCTCGGCATTTCAGGGCGTCTTCCATAGGCAAGAGGGCGTGATGGACGGGAAGCGGTCGATGTTCCACTTCGGCCTGCCAACCTGTGCTTTCGACCAGACTTTCTGCTGGCGGACAGCCGAACATAACCCCCACCTACGAAATCCGAATTTCCCTAGTTGGTCCTGGCTTGGCTGGGATGATGCAGTCTCCTTCGATAGGGACCTCATTCGCATAGCTCGCACAAGTCAGATTCTTGGAGGCGATCGGCCACGAGACTTGAGGAACCGATCAACGACGCATCCGATTTACCAGCTTCGGCAGCCAGTGCCGTGGCCGTCGGAGTTCTCCGCAAGCGATGGCTTTGGATTCCCCACCAACATACTAGGTACCGGAATGTTTATAGATCATGGTTGGCCTTCCATGTCAATCACCACGAGCTCAGCCTATCTTCGTATTTCGGCACGCCCGCAACAAACCCGAAATCGCAACGGTCTATACGCCGTATTTCCAACCATTTGCAGCCAAAGTAACGCAACTCAAAGGGCCAACTTGTCAGGGCACCACGAAGTGGCCAGTTTTGACACCACCACACATCAAGCAGGTCAGCAATACGTGTCATACGACATCCGTGACCATGACAGACATAGAGAATGTGAAGCAGAAACACCACTGGGTCACATATGGTTGGATCTCAACTGGCGTGACAGTCAACCTGATCTTCGCGTTATGAAGTTTATTGCTCTTGGTGGCCACTTGGAATTTGAAGGGTCCGGCAACTGGCAAATCACCATGTTAATGTGTCTTTTGGAAGCGGGTCCAGAATCTCATTATGAAAGATTTCAAATTATGGATTGCTCGATTCAACAGAGTTACTGGCTCAAGATCAGCGGATCTTGGAACATGTTGGATATCCAATAGTTCAGAAGCTTCTGAGAGCCCGTCGGCTTTCACCAAAGCTATGTTTGACGGCATGATCTTGCGCACAAGGTATGCATAGCCTAGAGTCATCTCAATCTGATGAGTACGCCACTTCGACAATACCCAAGACACGGGGCGAGGATAAGACTGATAATGAGTCTCCCAGAATAAGAAATTAAGTGGTGCAGACTTCGCGAAAGTAAATGATTATGCTGTGTTACGACGTCTACCATGCAAACTTCAAGGAAGCTACTGTAAAAGGAACGCCATCATCTTGACATTACCGATTTACGTATATTAGGGGACTTTTGTCATCTGCCTGTTCAAGTCTCCAAACAAGACCTTCGTTGGGAGGATGTGAGTTCAACTACTAATCGAGTTTGCCCACATCATAGGTCGGTTTCTTCTGTGTGTCACCAATCTCACCGCCTAATCTCACCCAGTAATCACAACCGCAAGCTTTCCAATAATGGGAATACCAATGCAAGCGCATCACCAGAGGTCAAACTGTGGATGCCAATGTGGTGTGATCGAACAACTCTTGTTATGCCATAATGATTTCTTCCATCGCGTAAGCGATCTCTGCAACAAGAATCCTAAGCAGAGTCCTGCCCGCCATGTGGCGGTCTTTTAGCTCAGAGAACCATTATTTCCCATCCTCCAACCTTTTCAGTTTGCTCAGGAATAGTCTGCAACTTCCGTGTTGTCTTAACCTTCCTGCTTGAACCCGACGACATTACGTCCACACTCTCAGCCGGAGTGGTCATCGGTTGTCGAGAATCGCCGTCGTCTGAATAGGGACTTTCGCTCCTCGTCCGATCCGTCGACGACGGACCAACGTTGCTGCTGGAGCCCGTCTGATTGACAGTCCCTCCCATGTTGGCAGGTGAAGGAAGCCTCTCATACCACTTGACTGGTGATATCTCCGTGGCTGAGGGGGACGTCCGACGATCTTTAGGTGACAGGTCCCTACTGTTGGATCCACTTGAGCTGCGGGTACTTGAACGACCTCTCTCGTCGAAGGGGTTGATGAATATTCCAATGGTGGTGTTCTTTCGGAGAACGTTAGAGTTCACCTCTTCGAGTTTGATCTCTTCCCATCTGTCGAGCTCCATTCCTTCCCTTGGCTCTCCGCTGATGTGACGACTCAGGGATCTGCTAGTCGTCTTCATGCGTCGATAGAGATTGGCTAACTTGTCGACGACGTCGAAGCCGCATTTAGAGGATATGACCAGGAGGAGGGACAGGGGCCAGAGGATCAAGGTGGCAGGAAGCCACAAGACCAGCAAGACCTTGTGTTGCAGTCTTTTGTCGGAGCTCTTGTACCATTCAGGAAAGAAACGGCACCTGTTGAGGAAGGCGTAGAAGACAAGCGCCGAAATAGTGTAGACCACACATGCTGCCGCTATAATTATGGCATTCCGGAAGTTGAAATCGTCGTCCCGGATGCCGGCGCTGAAGCCGGCAACAGGAGCGGAAGGAGTAGGAGCCATCTTTGTTAGGCTGAGGAAGGAATAGTTGTGTTGTTTGATGAAAGTGGTTGTGGTGACTTCAGGCCTCAGTGACTGGTTTTTGTTTGCTTTGTATTCCTGGTGTGATAATCGCAAGAGAGAGTTTGGAGGTGAGAAGTGATGTCGAGAACGAGGTGTTCAAGCGCGATGCTGGTCAGGCTGGGAAAAACGAGAAGGGTTTATATAGGGTAGAACATGTCTATCCACGATTGCGTCCCAACGAGCAAAGGCCAGGCGTCACTGTTTAATCGGAGATAGGTAGTCTATCCGTTGGTGTCGTGAAGTTAGATTATACCTCTCTGGCCAACATCCGCTGTGAATCGCTTCTGTCAGGAGCCGCAACCTTGCTATGATTCGCCTGGAAAACTTACTAGTTTCGAGCAAACTTTCAGGAACAGGGATCTAGCGTCTTTCGAGGCAATAACGGCGGTGGTGCTGGATCGTGTAAGGGGCATCGTATCTCTCTCTCCTCGTGAAGTCCGTCCAGGTCAGTTGACAATAATCCTCAAAGGTGTACACAGCAGATGTGTCAGAGTGTGGAAGAGATTTCATCGTGCACCTAGCAAGGCTACGCAAACGGTAGGTGATCAATGGCATGGGAGGGGGGGCGGGGGGCGGAATCGAGCAATGTCAAATCTCTCCCGAGGGAAGTTTGAAGAAGAGAAAGGCTCTTCATGGTTGACCATGCTCGTTAGAATGCTTGAGACTATGCGCTGATACTGCAGGCCGTTCTGACACGGTCTGATTTATTTGAGTCGTGAAAGCATCTCATAATGCCCATGGCTGAAGATCGCCAGTCAGTATCAGCTGCGAGCTGGACCACACGCACTTATATGGAATGAAGATGTACCAGTGCCAGCACTGACAACAAAAGGATTATCTCAATGACTTCGATTCACTACACTTGCAACTCTTGATGATGAATACAGTTAACTTGCTCATGGCCACCAAATAATGTGACCGCGACGCCCTTAGCAACCCCTTAGCCAGACATGGAGAGTCCAACTCCTACTGCTTGACAGCAGGAGCATACGGTTTCTGCTCAACCATCCGAGCCTTATGCATTCTCCACACCTCAGCCGCAGCCGCCTCATTCTCAACCGCCACGATCTCCGAGGCAGTCAGCCAATGTCCAAGCAACGGATCCTCCTCAGAAATCTCAGAGGTCCTCTTACATTGATTCTCCTGAGCGTGGTTGCCACCAGAGCAGACGGCACGGGGAGCAATCTCCCGGTCAACGCCTCCAGTGCCTGTGAGGCTCTTGAAGTCATGGCAGACGACGGCCGCGAAGTTGTACACCACAAAGACAGGCCAGAAAGCGACGATGAAGACGGCGATCTGAATGCGGATGAGTTTGTCGATAGCCTCAGCGGAAAGACACGGCTCCCACCACCAGCCGCCGGAATCATCATCCGAGAACGTCTGTGCAGCGGCATACGCCTCGGCAGCGCTCTCAGTCTTGTCCTTCGCCCCCATCTGTCCTGCAAAGATCATGCCGACATAGGTCGAATAAATGAAGTAGAGAGCACCGTGGAGGAGATACACCGCCGCCGCGATGGTGTTGAAGACCTCGGGGTCCAAGACGTACTGCTCCGAGGGCTCGCGGACGATGTTACAGAGGGTGTAGGCGCCGAAGGTGACCAAGCCGACGGCCCAGATTACGACGAGGACGATGGCTGTGGCGTCGAGACAGGTGAGAGGTTCAGAGTCCTCGTCGGTGGTGGTTCCCTGGGGTGGCGAGGGCAGCTGCTTTTCCTCGTCGTAGTTCATCTCGCCGCCAGATTGGTCGCCGGAGGCTTTGACGATGTGGAGGTAGTCGGTGTAGAAGGAGTTGACGTTCTTGATGGGACGGGAGGTAGCCGCCCGAATTGAAGCCATTGCAGTTGCCATTGTGTGAGATTATGACGGGTTATACTGTGTAAGTACTAAGTCGAGAAGTCAGGCGACAGAAATTATTCTTGCTGCTTGTAGAACGAACCTGTATCTGATGGATGTGAGATGCTGAATCGAAGAGTAGAAGGTTGCCATATGGAGGATTTAGATGCGATGTTTAATATCTCTCGAAGAAGGGATCGGAGAAAGACTTCTGCATAATCTCGAGGACCTCTTTAGCGACACATGCTACAAAGGCATCATGAAAAGTCAATACGAAACAGAAATCCAAAGACCGTTGGAAACAGGAACCTTGCTGGGACGGAATGCCACCGTCCCGTATTATGTCTATAGTATTATACAGTACTGGTACAGGATATCAGGCGATGGTGATCGCAAAGATTCCCCCTCAACTCCATGGCAAGCTCAACATGGCATCGTGATGCCACGAGTAAGAAAAAAGTATGTGCGTGAATCGAAGCGACAGCTCCCAAAAGCCCCCAAAGCAGCCCCCAAAATTCAACCCGGAACCGAAAAGCCCTCCCCATAACCCCCTTGCAATGATGCTACACCTTTCCGGCCTGTGCCCTTAGTCTACATCGTCGAGACTGGTGTCGGAAGTGTTGCCCGTGTCACCCTCGCTGACCTTCCACGATGCCATCTCCGCTACTGGCACCCGCCCTCGCAGCCACCGCAGGGTAGCGTCCGTACCCCGTTCAAGAACGTTCCACCTAGGAACTCTGAAGCGGTTACCAGCGACCTCTAGACGCTTGAGCCCGCCAGTGCCACCTAGAAGGCCAAGTCTCGGGTTCAAGTGTGCAATGTCGTTATTACCAGCATCGACAACCTCCATGCCCTTGATGGTGTCTGGGTCGAGCTCGATCAAGTGGTTGTTTGCTGCCAAAAGGACGACGAGCCTGGGGAAAACCGAGCGCAAGTCAGGCGGAAGGGCGGTGATGCGATTCAACGAAACGTCCATCTTTTCCAGCTGCGGGGCGACCAAGTGCGTAGTCAACGGCGAAAGGCTGGTGATGTGGTTGCTGACAAGGTTCAGCTCACGCAGGGCCGGCAAGTCGAGCTCCTCTGTCAAATAAGATTCGCCAACCAGTTGGTTATGCGCAAGAGACAGGGCGGCAAGAGAATCGGCGAAGAAGGACAGTGAATTCGGGAAACAGGTGAAAAGGTTGTGATGCAACTGGATCTCAATGACCTTGTTGTCGGCCGCGACCTTGGAACACACCACAGGATGCAACGAAGCTGATTTGGTATTTGATCGGTCCAGAACACCTTGCTTGACAGGCCATGTCTCATTGGCCAGCGTTTGCGAACGCGCTCGTGCCGGCGACGTCGGCGAAGAGGTGGGAGGGGTAGCGAAATCATCCTCGTCCGAGTGGTTATCGCGAACTAAAGCTTCCGCTGCTGGTGCGGTAATAGTGGCTGGTTGAACGTCATGAGGCTCGTCGAGGTGTGCCTCATCAGGTACAGCAGTGTCCTCTTCCTTGAATGGCGGGGGCGGCTCAAGCCTACCGGCTAGAACTTCCTTCAGCTCCTCCGTGGTGGCAGAGACGAACTTCTTGTCGCGCAACGGGTTGCCAGCGAGCCGAATCATGGTCAAGTTATCCATTCTGCTAATCTCGGGTGGTACCACGCGAATGTCGTTGGCAGAAAAGTCAACATGCCTAAGCTTCTCAAGAGCGGTGAAACCTTTGGGGAATTCGGGAATAGCGTTCTCGTCAGCGTTCAGGGTCATGAGGCTGCACCAAGAGCTGACATCAGGTAGCTCTTGTATGCGGTTCATCGAGATGATGAGTTGATGGACAACAGGCAGGTTGATGACTGATCCTGAAGGTACCAAGCGTGTCAACTGGTTGCACGATAGGTCGAGCATTTGAAGGGTTGGAAGGGACTCGGCCCCATCTTCAATCAGCGTGCCCGTGAGCTTGTTCTTCTTCACCAGCAATTCCGTCAGTGGGAGCTTGGACAGACTCGCAAAAGGCAGGGATTCGAAGCTGTTGTCGCTCAAGTTAAGAACGCGCAGTCTCGATAGACTTTCGATGCCAGGAGGAAGCGATGATACGTTGTTTCCGTGAAGGTCGAAGATTTCGAGATTCTCGAGGTTCGAGAAGATGGGATCGAGGGGTCCGTAAAGAAGATTATTGGCGAGCTTCAAGTCTCGGAGGGCCTTGACCTGGGTGATGACTTCGAGGCAATTGTTTGCAAGGCGATTTTGCGACTGCTTTTGTTAGTCAAAGTTGTTACTCAGAGTCGCATGTGTTGGCTTACTAGGTTGAGCGATGTGAGTAGAGGAAGCTGTCTCAATCCCATCGGCAAAGAGATTAGCGAGTTGCCGTGCAAGTCCATCGCCTCTAAGCCGCCAAAGATATTGCCGTTCGAGTCCTCATCCTGTGCCATTTCCTCTGCTGTGACATCTGGGAAGATTGTGTCATCGATAGTCTCCAACTCGTTATCCGCAGCTACGAAGCGAGTCAGATCGACAGTCTCAGCCCACGAGCCATCGTAAGTGCCCATGGACTCTGAGTCGTACATCTTGAGAACCTCGACCGGGATCTCCTTGAGACCCATGGCCGCGATGTTGAGTCTGCCACTGCTGCGGGCAGTGCCGAGCCGTTGCTGAATGACCTTCTTCTGAGAGTTCTCCGATCTCTTGGTGTTGAAGGGGTCTTGCGTGACAGCGATGCCAAAGTCGAACCCGTCGTCCTGTGGGATGATGGGTGGCTCAGGCTGGAATGGCGCAGAAGAGTCTGCAACCGGCGCTGCGTTTGGAGCTGACGCTGCCTCCGCAGCTTGTCGGTCTGCAGCGCGCTTGGCTGCCCGGGCCTTGGCAATTTGTTCTCGCAGAGCGTTGGAGGACTTTGCCGCAGCATTTTCTCCAGATTCTTCAGCATCTTTTGAAGCAGCAGCAGAAGGTGGAGCACCAATCTTAGACGGTCCAGGCCTTCGTAGAGATCCATAAGACTTGGACGGCGTCAGTTTCTTGGGCTGCGACGAAGCAACAGACGCAGCCGGAGCTGGCTGGGTCATTGTTGGCAGGGAAGGCTTCTTGTAGAGTCCTTGGACCGAGGCGCGGGGCTTTAGAGGGCGAGCAGCAAGCGTCTTTGCTCCAGCTTTGGGTGGTGGTGCCATGATGCCAGTTGGTCTCGTTGGGCTGGGGCTCTGGGTGACTGGTATCGCCGAAGTAGTCGACGGTCCGGAAGGTGACGACTGGGGCGTAGCTCTCAGCGATGGTGCTCGTAGGGAACGGATGCTAGATACACGGCGAGCCGGGGTGCCCTCGATGGCGCCAAGAGGTCGGTACGCGTTCGCAGCCGGTCGAGCATTGGCAAATGGGTTCTCTTCAGCACCAGAGCTCGAACCTGGTCTGCTGTGCCGGGACGTGGGCCGCATGGAGCCATCGGAGGTGTAGCTTGAGCCAGGTCTCGAGTGGCCGCTGCCGGCGCGTGAGCGGGGCCGCATAGTGCCATCTGGGTCGAAGAATGTGGACGTCTTCTTGCTTAGAGAAGGGGAGGATTGTAATTGCTGAAGGGTCTCGATGGTTCGTTCGGAAAGGGACGGACGGGGTTTGAAAGGTGTCGTTCTCAGCGTGTCAAAGTCTGGAAGATCAGGCTCGGCATCATCAGCGGCGACTTGTGGGCTGCTCGTGTCTTTGGTTAGGGTAATCGGATCGCCCAGACGACTTGAGCTTGGGGTAGCGACATTGTCCTCTGACGGGCTTCGCGTAACGCTTGTCGAGCGAGGAGTGAATGACCGTTGGGGTTCTTCTGGAGGTGTAGGGGGTTTCTGGATTATCGATTCCTTTGGTTGCAGTCGAGGCACGCTTCGGGAAGATCTCAGTGTCGCAGCGGGAGCTCTCAGGTCCGTCTTTCTCGTGGCTGGAGGTTGGATTTCGCGTTTCGGTCTGGTAGGGATGGTGCGAGGTTCCGGTTGCTTGAGAGCAGCGGCCGGGGCCAATTGGTCTCGTGAAGCAGCTGGGCGGAGGCGAGGATTCCGTATACTCGAATTCAGGCCTTCTCGCGATGGAGATGGTCGAACAGCAGGTGCTGGAGCTGCCGTTCTTGGAAGAGGCAGACGGGACATGCGAGGAATCCCACTAGGCCTCCCAGGTGCCTGCTTCTCGTCCATTCTGGCGGATATAGTGTATGTCCTACAGCTCTGAGAGCATGGAGAAGGTCGAAGAGGTGCTTCCTGAACGCTCTGGAGCGTGGAATAAGAAGAAGTTTGGGGGAATAATTCCTGTGGAAATATCGAAGTTTGCGCACTGACAGTCGGCAATGGTCTAGCGTTGCTTTGGCGCGTGGGAAGCTGCTCCGTTTGCTCCTAAACGGGTCGGGAACTAACGAAGGTAATTTCAAGTTGGGATGACGCAACGTCGCGGTTTCTCGTGTGCCAAACGGGCAGCTTCGCGTTCGAGTAGCAGCTGTAGATGGTCGAGTTCAAGTCAGCTTTTCGGATCGCGTTTGTAGTTTGCACACACAGGAAACAAGAGAAAGAAGTGGAAGCAAACAATGGCAAGCCGCAAACCTACCACAACGTCCTCTCTCCCGTCGCAACGGACATTGGATGGACCCTCTGGGACCTGGGGCCTTGTCAGGCGAGAGTGATGAATCGGAAATCTGCAAGAGAACAGACAATAATGAGCAGGGGGGGTGGATTCTTGGGATCGACAAGGATGGTCGATTTGCCCAATTTCCCGGCACGAGGAACGACGTTCCCGGCGCCTGCTTCCCCGACCAATTGCAGCCATCGCAGCATCTTCGGCTGCTGACGTAATGGCCCTCTTCTGCACTGTTTTGGGCCTCGCTTAATTCTAGCGCCAACAGGTCAGCAACGGTTCCTGCATGTCTCGACTTTGTTTCTCCCAAAATCTCCACTGTCAATTGAGGGGCAGAATTTCATAATCAAGCCAAAAGACCAGGGGAAAATGAGCTGGAAAAGGGACGGTGTGTTTCTTGCTGATGCCCAACGTTGATAAGGCTCATATGAGATGTGTAAATCGTGAAGGTGAAAGGATGTGCGAGCTGCCCTCTGGTAGTGGTGAGGTAGGATGGAAGGATGAAAACCGGCCTACCTCTCTTTTCTCTCCCCCCTTTTTTTGTGGATTTATTTCTTTTGATGTTTTTTTTTGGCTTTTCCATCGGTTTTCTCTCGACTCGTACCGCCGTCACCGCGTGAAAGGATATCTGCTTGATCAAAAGTTAGCCTCTTGAACTCTGATTCAACCTGATATGAGGGAAGAAGCCAGTTTCAAAGCATCTGCGGCAGTCGGCAAGGCCAGACGAACAATCCCGGACGGACAGCCAGGGAAGCCCCTGGTCCCTTCAGTCTGGAGTTGACGCCGTCCAGTGACAGCAGCTCTTTCGTCTCGTCTCGTTCTTCAGAAGCTTCAGGGATGGCTAGGATTCCCCCCCCCGCGCAGAGTTATCGGAACATTTGAGATGGCCGTTCAGATCTTGCGTCGACAGTTCGATCCGTGGTCCAGCATCGTCTGCCTTCGTCCCGAGTTGCGACGTTGGGCATCATCTGGCTTACCAGATCGACCAAATGGATGACGCAAGGGATAAAAGTGAAGAGGCACGAGTGAGATGACTTACAGATCCTTCCGCCGCCCTGCCCCTCGGCCTTATACCGGTATACCCTCCCCTATACCCGGCCGGGGGCTCCGGGCCTGGGCTAGTGATCGTAGCCCGGTTCGCCGGGGCGGAGCCACATTATCGTCGGCTGCTTGGCTACAAGCCAGGCGTCCCTCGTATTGTACGCCCGGAAACGAAGGTCTCGGCGCATAACACACCGGTTGCAGGTGCGCGAATTCGCGCGGGCACCAACGTGGTCGAAGAAGTAAGGGGCCCAGAGCCACTTGCCGCAGGTACCGCACCAGCGCAAATCGCCGACCGTCCCAGGACGTCCTCCAAGAGATCTCTCGGTGCTCAGGAACAGAGGGTCTGTCGGAAGCAAAGGCGCCCAGCCCGGCATACCCCAAGTAGGGCCAATGAGGACCCTTTCAGTGGCCCAGAAGCCGGGCGGGAGGACGGCTGGGCGGTTGGTGATGTCGATGAAGATGCTCACCGGACCGCAGGCGACCGCAGGCTCGTAGGGGAACTCTCGGGGTGGACCGTAGAGGAAGAGCTGCCTGTTGAATCCATCCCAATCCCAGATGACGACACCCGAAGCCCTCGCTAGATCAAACTGCCAGTGCAGGGTTAAGTAGCGAAATCGGCCGTCAACCGCGGTGGACAGTACTGGAATCTGAATTCGATGAAATTTAGCCCAAAGTCATCACTTGAAATGCGTCTCACTTACCCGACGGTAGCTCATCTTGACGGTTCCGATGATACTGCTCTAATTTGTTGTACTTGAGGTTGCCGACCGACTGTTGGATGAGCAGAGAAGATTCTTGAGATGGCTGGTAGAAGGTGGAAGGAATGGCGACCGTTTGACAATGGAGAAATTTGTGCTCGCAGGAGAGATCAAAAGCCCCTCAGTTGTTGGGATCCTTCTTTTCACCCGGGACAGCACTCGATTCACTGGGTGTGGTTTTCATCCGGCCGACCACGCCCCTCGTCCCTTGTGACTGCCTAAGCATCGTCTCTTCGTCGGACGAAACGAATGACCAGGTGAATCGACATGCGGAGATGAGGTTCATCCGTTTGACCACGCCCATCTCATAGATGAACCGTCCAAAAAGTTGGAATCAGAAAGAAAGAAGGCCGAAGTGGTTGGATGGCTATCAACAGGTATATCAAAAGACTTGGGGCATTGGAGATGGTTCGAAAAGGGGCCAAAGACACAAGGCTTCATACTTGAAGAGTCCAACCATTGCTGACTTCGAAAGGTGAAAAGCGAAAGGCTGGCACCAGTACCTAGAAATTCAATCAAGTAAACAGAAGATCAAAGGAGTACACACGAGGACTAGACCAAAGGGTCGAGCCAGATACGGTCAAAAGCTTGGAGCTGTCATCTGGTTGTCTGCCGAAGCTTCGAGGGCCGCATTGCCGACAGGTCTCGAAGTATCTGCCATGATGGCAGGCCTGCTCCAAAGAAGCCAGGCCACACAAAAGAACCAGGGCCCTTCGATGAGATTGTGGACTTATGATAATCTGATGAATGTATTCTACGACGAAGAGGGTCAGGTCTCACCACTTAGGGTTGCTTCGTCTTGCGCTTATTCGCTGGGACCTTGAGTTCTGGCCAAGGAGGAATACTTGAGCTCGAACGAATAGAACACTACGAGTGCGAGATATTTCTAGGAGCATAAGCGAGCCAGCCAGGATGGCAACGTTGGCTACAGGAACCTAGGGTACTCATAAATAGGTTATCATCAGAGGTTCCAAGGTTCAATATCACTAGTGGAGGAAGTTTGCTTCAAAGTTTCAGAAAGAAGACGAGTATGCTAATTCAATTCCATGGGGGTATCATAGACGATCAGGCAAAGCCCTGTCTAGTTACGTTTGCGTCAGACTGCTTCCTCCTTTCGTAAAGAGCAAAACTCCATCATAACCTCGCAATGTTCCGAACCAAAGAAAAATATAGCGTGTGAAATAGCGGCCTATGCCTAGGCACGCATTAGACATTATCACGCTGTAAGAGAAAATAAGAAGTTTCCACCGAGGATTGACCGGGCTTTCCCCCTAGTGCGCGACAATCACCCCGCATTGGACGGCAGCTTGGGGTACGAAGACCTCTCTCGAGATGCAGCGAACCCAGGAACAGGAGTCAGTTCCGCCGCAGTTTAACGTCCCGCCGTTGATGAGAGCAGCTGCCTCTGGTGGCAATATGTGCAGGACGATCGTTGTGGGGAGTGTAGGCGGTCTTGCAGAGTCGAGATCCGGGTCGATCGGGCTGAACTTCGTGATAGGAAATGAAGTAAAGAGAAAACGCCGCATCAAGGGTATTGCGAGGAGCAGATAATCGTCGTAAAGCGTTCGGGAAGGGACCGTAATATGATCGTGGCTTCGTCAATTGCTTCGGCTTCGACTAGGATCGACCAGAGAGCAAGGGAGTTCGCGTCCACAAGGTCTAGCAAGCAGTGAGTTAGTTACGATGAACATAGGGGCTTTGGTTGCGGCGTTTTTGAAGGCCGTCCTAGGATTATCACTTACCTCGGCTCACAGAAGCGGGATGGCAGTGTCCAGCGTCTTCCGGCTTTAAGGAGTTGGTAACGTGACCACTCAGCTCGAACCGAAAGCAGGAAGGCTGCCAGACTGGAGTTGCGGGACGCCGTTCCTCACAACCACGGAGCCGGTTCCGGAGGGTCCTCGCTCGCCGGGAGACGTGATGTTGAGAGGGCTGGTGTACGGAATCTGTGCCGCGGCCATAAGGCGCTGCGTATGCTCGTACATGGAGAGGGTGTAAGCGTCCATGCTGCCCGAGAACTGCCGGGTCGTCGAGGTAGAAGAGGTCGAGGTCGACGAGTTCGTGGTAGTCGAAGCGGGACGGGGGATTTGCGAAGACATCTTGGGAAGTTTATTCTGCAAGTTTAAACCGTTTAAGGGCTGCGTACGACTCAAGTCAGATCGCGACGAGAAAGTGTCCCTGGATAAGGTATTTATAAATGCAGATCTCCTTTTCCCGCAAAACCCCGTGGCTGCGGACTGCCCGTGTGTGTGCTACTTGACTTGAGACCCAGCCCGCCCCGGCCTCACCCTTTTCAATGATCACTCCACTGCCAGATTGAAACCTTGTCCAACTTTCCAGTCTCCAGGGACCTCAGAAAAACCTGATCCGGCGCTGGAAAGGATGGGGTGGTGAGCAGCGCCCAATAACCGCATGCATGTTCCCTGTCTAGTGTCACGCGGGGACCCTCAGGCGAAGGGGGGGAAACCAGGCCGTCTGGCGCCGTTCCCCCTCCTTCAGGTCTGGTCTTCGTTTGCGTTCCCGCCCTCTTGTCTCTCTTTTTCGCGTCTTCGCCCTGGAAATCGGGCCTGTCAAGAGTCCGGCAATTACTGTCAGGGTCCATTGCTATCCCCCCTTGGGCCCTTGAGTCCTTAAACCGTTGGAATGATCGCCGTAATACCTTAATTGTGGCTGTATTCGTCCCATGTATCCAATCAGTGACCCCTATTTTCGATTCTGGTGCCTTGGACCCCTCTTTCCCCGGGCACATGAAGGATGGCGAAGCCACACTGGCCAATGCTAATTGTCATACATACTTAGTACTAAAGACCAGTCGCTTCAGAAGAGCAGCCCGGAGAAGCGCGCCTTTGCTCACTATCTTGCGGAGCCACGACAACCACGTCAGTCAATGCCTGACAGCTCTCAAAGAACGAGCGGGGGTTATTGAGATTTCACTGTTGTTAATGAGCAAGGGGCCATGTGATGGTCACGATGTCATCGTCATGCTCACGTCACCACTTTTCTATTCAACACAGCCATACATTGTATCCAGTTTGCCGGGCGTACCCGTACCTCGGGAGCTGGATATTGGTAGTTGACAATCATTACAACATGGCATTCAAGCAGCTAAAGAAGAAGCTGAAAAAGCCATGGAGCCAACATCGGCTGTGAGTGGTGATGTTTCTCAATCGGCCGTTTGTGGTCAGGACAATTAGTTGGACAGCGGACCATTTCCTCCTGGAGGCCGCCGCGCAGTAGGAAGAACGGGCTCCGACGCTTGTTCGGCAGGGTCCCGGCTAGATCGGATCTCCTCACAATCAGCTGCAGGTTTATTGAACCCCTGGACGACGGCTCGCTCACGGGCCAACGGAGCCAGCCCCGTCCCGCCTCACTATTCACATCCAGAGTCAAGGAGGACTGCGTAGGTACTCCAACTTTGGCGTTCTTGTACGACAAGACGCTCACAAAGCGCCTCACATCAGACGTGTCTAGGCCGGAGCAGAATGTCCCCTGTGAAAGAGCATCGAATCTGCATGTTGACAGGTTGCCAACTATCCTATGACTAGTCGCGGTACCGGAGTTAATGCTGACATGTGTCCCACAAAGGAAATAAGCGGGCTGAGCCACCAACGCAAGCCACTTTGGCCGGAGTTGGAAGAGAAGACCAGTGCGGTTTGAGACACACGACCCAGTTACAGAAACTTGTTCGTGCGACTTTTATTATCGGAGATGGGAATTGTATTTCACCATTGGATCAAGTCATTGTACGCAGTGATACCTAGTCCACAACCCCGAAAGGCAGTTCAGTTACCAAGGGTGTCAATCGCGCCCACTTACTGGGGTGGAGCAGGTCCTGTGGCTGAGAATGTGGGCAGTATTGGATGGGAGCGCTGTATACGTCATAGCCATAGCCATGTTAGAAAGTAGGTTGCGATTTGTTGAAGGGTTGTTTTGAGAACAAGAAAAACTCAGCAAAGACCAGGTAAGTTGTTATACACAGTCTGCTTCAGATACGTAACATCATGCTCGACTTTATGTTGTGTCTTTGCCCTGATTTCGATGGCCATCCGCCCGTATGCCCTGCAAGAGCCCATGGCGACTGTAGATACTCCCTGCCTGGAATATCTCAATGATGCTGCCTTGACTGAGGTGAATAGGTCAAAAGATTGTCTCTGCTGGAACACCTGTGATGAGCCAACATGAATCACCGGAAGCCATGAATTCAAATGTATCATTGCGACACATTTGTTCTTTCGCAGAAAACCAATGTTGGTTGACGTTCATGTTCGATGTTCTTAGGCATCAACAGTCCGACGAACGGTTAACTGCAGTGCCCAATCAGGGGTTGCGGCAGATCACTGCACATCATGGAAGGAAGCACCCTGAACACAGGGTTGAAAAATTCGGGAAGCCCTGTCTCTTCTTCAGAAAAGATCAAGGACTGTTTGAATTCAGATAACTTCATTCGTCGATCGAAGCAGCCTCGGGATCCTGGCATCCGTGGGAATACGCAAGCAAGGAATCGACACCAGAAACCTGTTCTTGGTCAATGACTGGCCTGATTTCTTCCACGGTCCGTTCCCAACGACACGGCACTATTCTACTACTTTGCTCCTGTTTTCATCCAGGCGTTTTCTATTGAACATGTTGGTAATTGGACCTCAGATCCGTCCAGCTACCTGAATACTGTTCCAAGGCATTGTGAAGCAAATCTTCTAGACCCTAGAGGGGCCATGAGCTCTTCGAAACGAGAGGCACTTCACCCGGCTTGACTGTCACATGGTACGAATCTTTTCGCTGGCAGTTCTCCCCTCAAATATTGAACAAACAACCCTCATCGACGCAGGCTGCAGAAAATCTGTGAACTATCGTCCCGAGATCGCCAGTATGAGATCACTGCTTACTTGGGTTCGCCTTTTGCAGCAAGCTCCACAAGACTCACGGTGTGCCATACTGTCTATAGAACAAGATGCAATCAGGGGTGAAATTGAATTCAGTGGGAACGCCGACTGGAACGACCCAAGTGATGATCTTCCAGACGATGGCCGCTTGGAAGAGACACGAAGCTTTCACACGTTTTGCTAGCATATGAAGATGATTCCCAGAGTGAGTTACATCTGTAAGCAGTGTATTGCAGTCACTCATGAAGGCAGAGAACAGTCCAAGGACTCTTCGTGAAAACCTGATGTGTCCTCGGTCGGTCCACTTTCGTGGGGCTCGCCCAGTGTCTTGAGTTGCTGATCATCCCTGTTTTATTGATATGCAAATACGACTAGATGCCTTGAGCCAGCGGATTTCGTGGGGTCCATTGGCCACCTTACCGTGTATTCATTTCAAGACAGGCTTGCTTCAGGGCACTACTCAGTGGCTTATTACCCCCTTGAAGATCTTGCCATGACACTGGATATTCTCGACTGCTTTAGAAATTCTGCGCAATACTATCTTTCGCCAATGGAATGGTCACTCTTTGGTCCTTTGGCCACCAATAGTTCATCAAAATCTCTCATCATGCTCCTTCGGGAAACTGCTTGTCAAACATGACTCCGACGAACACCATCAAAACCGCCGAATACGCAAGAGTGGACGCAAAGACTTGATCGAGTCTATCAACACATCCAACCATGGAAAATCCAAAAGCAAAGACGAACCCCGTTGCAACGCCAAGGTTCAAGTACAGCTCCCTTTTCAGAACCAACAGCCACATGGGCCCAACTAAGAAAGCCCCCCCAACTAATGCGCCCATGATTTTAAACCAGAAATTGCGGCGGAGCACTGCTTTGGCTGATGCATTCCTCGTCCCGCCTAGAGGCTCTGGGAAACTCTCATTACCCCAAGGACCGGTAGGTAGAGCATGGAGTTTCATCGACTCGTACGTCATTCGCGGCGGGTCGGCAAACTGCCTTCCCCCCACCCCGTGCTTTCTCATCACCTGATCGAGAACATAATTGTCATGGTACCGTTCACTTGACGCGATGAAGAAATCGAACGGTTGCTGAGAGACCTTTGTCATATACTCATAATCTTGCACAGCTTGGGCTTTTGTGTTGTTAGTAGTCTAGAACAACTATTTAAATACACCTTCGATCTGATTAAGATCTGTGAATTGATGAGAATAGAGAAAGTGAAAAGTAAAGTAAGGTAGAGATAAATAACATCCGGGTATTGCTTACTGTAATCTCTCAGCAGACCTGCCAAATGTCTGCCTTCTTTGAGAACGGTTTCGGTTCCCGATTTATCTCCTTGGGCTTGCATCTTGACTGCTTTGTCGACAAGGCTGACTTGCAGAGCTCGCAAGTACATGCGCTGCATCTCTGCAATATTGACGCGATAACCCCAATCACCCATTTGCAATTTATTGAGTAGGCGGTAAACTGTATGGAGGATAGGGGGCTTCTTAGATACCAGCCTGATGAAGTTCTTTTCGTGGAGCTTGGCAGCCATATCCCACGCAAAATCCATATTGCTATCTTGCTGAACGTTGCCGATGCCATTCTCTTTGGTACGAGGGGCAACGGCCGGGCGACCAGGCAGTCTCTCGGACGTCCCATTTGTTGCTTGAGAGGCTCTCAGGAGGGTATTGATTGCGGTTTGGATCTTCTTGATCTCTTCATCCTCCATTGTTTGCGGACTGCTGTGAGCTATTGTTGACTGCATTGCGTTTCGACAACATGTATGTGAGAGCCTTAAGTAGCCGCTATTTGCACGTGGGAAAAGGTTCTTGCCGGTAGAGGGGGTTGGAAATAAGCAGAGATCTCCTCGCGATTTGCTATTGAAAACGCCCACAACGTAGTCATTGGCTGTGAGGAAAGAGATAAGTACCTTACTTAAGTAATATGCAGTGGGGGCCGGAGAGGGAAAAATAGACCAGCCTGAAGAGATTCACTGTGAGGAAAGAAAAGAGGCTCGATGTGGTTGGCCTCAACAACAATATGCACAGTAATGCGCTGCAGCTCATCACGCTGCCAGTGCATGTATCACTCTAAGTATTTTACCTTGGGCCACCTTAGAGTATGCTTTCAAGTTCAATCTCAAGGTAGCGCCTAGCCTGTCTCAAGCAGGCTGGCGAGCTGACCACACCCCCCACCGGCATGGCCGCCTAGCGAACATGTAGATAAAGTGCTCATTCGCCAGCCTGCTCAGCGCCTTCACAGTGTCTTACGGGCTCAGCCGTAAGCCACAGTTGATGAGGGTGTCTCTTTACATGTGGTCTCTTATGACTGGTCCGCCTCAAGCACACCAGCTGAGACAATGCACATAAGGGTCCGATGATGCCTCATACAAGCCCCTCTGTCTTGGCAATAAGCCCTTCGCCTTGCTGGAACTTAAAGAGTTGACCATTCATCAGAGGTACTGAGTTGCTTTTCGCATTTGGCTCGACTCGAGAAGGGCTCGACTCGAGCTTTGTTGATTGAGATCGTTCCAAAGGTCACGTCTATCTAGTGATACTACTTTGGCTGCAGTAAGTTGGCTTCGACAATCAGTGAGACCAATCAGTTACCCAGGTTTTCAAACCTAACCATTGTTCAGACCAGGGCAGAGGACGATGACACGCCATCGACCAAACCAGTCAACGTTAACCTTGGTATTCAAGAACCATCCTTCGCCCGGCAGAGGTGGTAAATTTCGCCTTATTTACGACTCGGAAAGACACTGCGAATCTCAAATCAGTTCCCTTGAACGGCACAAAGGTGTCACTGCCAAGGCAAACGAGAGAGAGGTGAATGGTCGGAAGTACTGGCAGATAACCGTCAATGGACTCAACGTACAGGAAATTAAGTCAGGGAGATCTAGGAAGGGAGAAAGGGAATATTATCTGACAGTTCGGAGCCAACGTGCTGCGCATAGGGTAAGTCGGGGCTTGGGGCTTCCGGACACTCGGATGGTATACAACAAAAACTCGGGCCAATGGGTGGTCATCGTGAAGTCTACCTTTACGGAGGATGAAATGGATCGGGAGGCATATGACGATGTTGAGCGCGCCCAGTCTTCCGGCATCCCTGGATACATGTACCCTGAACCCAAGAAGCCCAAGAGCACTAAACATAAGAAGTCCAGGTCTAGGCCCAGGCCTTTGATTCAATGTTTATGCTCCTAGCACGCATAGTCAAACATAGAGGTTCATTCTATAAAACTAAATATAATATTCAAATAATAGCTATTAAGACTAAGTACGTAATGAAACAGAGGTGACTAGGTACATACTTAAGTAATTATACAGACATTTTGATACATAATCACTCTCAATTATATTTAAAATGATATCCTAGATATATTTATAAGCTAAATAACTGTTAAAAAACACTGTAAAAGAAAGTTTATTATATCAATTCTAAGTTTATAATGTAGCCCAATATGTATATATATTCACATTACAAAGTCCGTTTAACATAAGATAAATAATTAGTAAGCTCTTGTACAAACTTGGTAAAGAATATAAAAGTAAATAAGTCATATAATTGTAACAGCGTTTGCGCTGAATTAGTGTTCCCCATGGGGAAATATTCCTAAACTGACCATGCCCGAGTAGTGCCGAATTATCCGATTCCTTTTTACTTACCTAGTAGGTAATTACTGGGGCGGGTCGTCAGCTCCTCACTCTAACTTGACTTGGACATAACTATGTTGAAGGATCATCGCTTATTGGTAGCTGCATACGAACACTCGTGTTCTAGGCTTCAGTTTAAGGAAGCGCACAAATCAAGATGATCGAACCTGTCTCCTTACTTATACAAGTAGTTGTCACACTGAGCCGTATGCGGGGAATCTTTCGAGGGCGACTAAGTAGGTAGCATTGAAATCCTTCATCAGTTGCCGCTCGAGGTCTATCATGGCTCGTATGTAGGTGTTCTTGGTACATATACTTTTCAAGGTCTGAGAAGGATTCAAACGTATAGCCGCGAACAACGTTTTGATCCTCGAGATGCCCAGGGATCCAATGTCATTCGCGGAAATTCAAGAGAGAAGTTCGGATGTAATTGAAGAAGATAGCGTGGTTGGCGCGCCTGGGTTTGACTGACGTCGAAGGAAGGAAGCCTAGATGCTCATGGGAAACTGAATGTAGCTCACAAGTCCCAGTAGTAAGAGTACAATTGGAACCGACGAGGAAAAGCTATAAGAACTTCGCTTTTCCCGCGCTTCAACTGCCCCCATCTCTCGTATTTAACAAGCAAGTCAATCATCCTCTTAGTCACCTTGTCCAACTCCAGTCTGTGAGTATCGAAGCCTCCCAAACCTAGTCTCTACCATCTCTCGAGCGCAAGACTAACGACGCCAGACTAACGACGCCAGACTAACGAGGCCAGCACATAAGTACTATATTTTGCACGTTCAACTTCTCGAACAATCTCATTCACAATGAAGTTCACCTCATTCGTCCTCACTGCTCTGGCAGCTGCTTTCGTCTCGGCCACCCCAATCGCCGAGACCGAAGCTCCTGCGTTGACCTTCAGAGGTGAACAGTTGGAGGCTCGCGCCTACTGGTGCACCGCTTGCAAGAACGGAAAGCAAACCTGCTGCACCGCCACCCAGTGCAGCTCTGGCTACCCATGCTAAGCGATGAGCTTGGAACGAGATCAGCCGAATCTATGTCGGATGGGACAAACTTAACGGCTCTGTGTGCCACTGCCTGACACCCTATGGGCATATTCAGGGCTGTTCTACCATCTTGCGCAATGAGTTGAATGGCTTGAGACGGAATGGCATAGCTTTCATGGGTCTCAATGTTAGGCCGTCATCGAAATATCCAGTGCAGTTAAATCTACTTCTTGAAAACGACAACCTACTTTATCATCGAACTTACATTGTAATTCTAAAGTTGAAAATGTGTGTCTTCTTACTTCTTGTAAGTGTAGGCTAATGAGGTGAATACTCAACACCTCATTTTCCGAAGCAGAACCATGGTCTCCGGCCATTGGAGGTTGCGGTTGCATTATGTTGTGTTCTACCCTGGCTAATGCCCGCTCTCACAGGTAAGGTACCCACGTGATGTTATTCTGCTACCACTCCATATCTGAACAAGTGCTCGTAGTGCGTTGCGGCTCTTAGTGAAGCTCGGAATCTATTTCTCATTGATCTGTTGGAGATGCGGGTGAAGCTCCCGAAGTCGCTGCGGATCTATCGAAGTTATCAACTCATCCGAGTTCCGCTGACAAGTTGCTGACGAGTTGCGGACCACGTTTGCAGTGGATTCAATACTGTCCCCAATCCCCGTTCCCTCCGATCATCAAGCGGGCACTCAGGGGAATAAGAGTTGTTTGGCAGCATCCGATTGCTGATCGACAGGTCCAGGCGGAGGGTGCCGCAGGGATTTGACTCGCAAGCCCATAGCAGAGACATTTAACCCCTCCAACTCACCAATGACGCCCATCTCTCAACTGGAGAACTGCCGATGTCAACGTTGAATAGTGTGGGGTTCTGCCCACCAATTTCCGATGAAAGGCGAACCGTGCAACGTCTTGTTTCCTGTTCGGGCAGTGCAGAGTTGCGATGTTAGTGGACCATCGGTCCATTGGAGGATGTCATTCAGGAGTCGGGATTGCTGGGATGTCGAAAAATTGCGAAGAAGCCCCCCGACTTCCGGAGGACTTCCGTGATATAATTCTAGAGTCTCTCCTGATGCTGTTGAAGGAACGGTTGCCAGGCCACTTTCGTCAACTCCAGTCTGTCGCTTCAGTCACAGAGAGTCGCCTCCGTCATGATGTGCAACGCAAAGTTCGCGGCTACCTTTGCCGGCCTCCTCGCCTCCGCGAGCGCAGGTCCCAGCGTGCAACTCGACAACGGCCTCACGGTCCAGGGCCGGATCGCCCCCGACGCTGTCAACGTCGCCGAGTTCCTTGGCATCCCCTACGCGGCGCCGCCTCTCGACGATTTGCGCTGGGAACCCCCTCAGCCCTACGTCGTTCCCCAGTCAAGCACTCCTTTCGCCAATGGAACCGTCCTCAACGCCACGGCGCTACCGCCCTCATGCTGGCAGTACATTTCCATCCACCCGGCCATCCAGCGCGTGGATGTGCCCGAGTTCATGATCGGCGATGCCGGCATGGACGAGGACTGCCTCACTGCTAGCGTGTGGGCCCCTGCCGGCGCCGTTCCCGCTACCGGCGAGCAGCAGGCTTCCGGAGAAGGACTTCCGGTCATCATTTGGTTCTACGGCGGTGGCTTCGAGACGGGCGGCACCGATGTACCCTACCAGATGCCTCAGAACTGGATCCAGCGCTCGCAGTCGCACATCTTCGTTACGTTCAACTACCGCATGAAGCTCTTCGGTTTCCCCAACTCTGCCGCGCTGAAGGAGCAGAACCTCGGACTGATGGACCAGCGCTTCGCTGTCGAGTGGATCCGCGACAACATCGCACAGTTTGGTGGTGACCCTGAGCGCATGACTATTTGGGGCCACTCCGCCGGTTCCATCGCTGTAGACTACTACAGCTTCGCGTACGCCGAGGACCCTATCGTCAGGGGCCTCATCATGGACTCCGGTACGGCTCACCTGGACCAGCTGATGAACCACGACGAGACCCACTCCAATTTCACGTTCGTCGCACAGCAGCTTGGTTGTGGCAACTCGACAACTCCTGAGGCTGAGTTGGCATGCATGCGCAAGATTCCTGCAGAGAAGCTTGAGAACTTTGTGGCCACTTACAAGGACTCTGAGGTCACGCCTACCATTGGCTTCTCTCCCCAGATTGACAACAAGATTGTCTTTGCCAACTACACCGAGAAGGCTGCTCTTGGCGAGCTGTCCGATCTTGTAAGTTGACTCCCTGGAGACGTTCTTAGCGAGAGTGATTTGCTAACAACTCACAGCCCGCAATCATTGGATTCAACGCCGCAGAGGGTCTCTTCCTTGCCCCTTACGATGCGGAGAACGGCCCCGACCCCGCCGTCGCTGATGCCTTGTCCTACCAGTTCTTCTGGTGCCCTGCCACCAAGACCACTAAGTGAGCCTCCCCATTCTCTGCTGCGAGTAGCCCGATACTAACTAAGGGAACCTAGTGAGCGTCTGGCCGCGGGAAGGACCACATACCGCTACTACTACTCTGCCGTGTTCAACAACACCTCGCCTCGCCCGTGGATGGGTGCTTACCATGGTAGCGAGCTTCCCATGATCTTTGGCACACACGCCGACTTCCGTGGTAACTCCACCGCGTTCGAGTATGAGCTCAGCCACGTCATGATGGATGCGTATGCCGCTTTCGTGAAGGACTCGACCGCGGGTCTGGACGCTATCGGATGGCCTGTCTACACGGCTGAGGAGCGTCTTGTTCGTAGCTACGGCCAGAACAACAATGTCACCGTCGGCAAGCGCACGCTGTCTGATATTGAGACAGAGTGTGCAAGCCAGGGGCTTTTGTAGATGTGTACGGTATTTTAACATTCGGTCCATATTATATTCCATCAACAAAAACTGTAAATCACTTTTCACGAGACTCGTAAACTCAATATGAACTCGAGGTAAATTTGAATTATGTGCGAAATGATTAGGCACATTTTCTTGTTGCCCCGCAATTAGCTTCCAACTTCCAAGCAATCGAGTAAGTAGTCTGACATTGTTTATATATACCCCTATCTTCTCTCAACATTCCTGTCGATACTTAGTCCTTATTTGCCATTGACCGCTGCGACCTGAGCTCTTGGAAGTTTTGCCATACTCGAGTTGAAAACAGCGACCGGTTGGCTTGGATTGTAAATTGTTTTCTGGACTTCAGAGTCCCAGACAAGACTTATGGTCTTTAGCTGGAGGATAGGCTAAAAGCTTGAAAACAGTCTGGCCCTTTGCTCATGAATTCGGAGCAAAGTAACGTCATGGGGCATGTATGCACAAAGCATTCACCCACATATTGCAACAACCTTTTTCTGTTACTCCAGGTTTATCATCAAATCTTTTCACATTTTCGACCAAGACAATGGTAGTGATGTCCAACCAAATGCTAAGTTGCGGAAAGAAGTTTAGAAGCCAACGACAAGTGGAAATCAAAGAGCCTGGGCAATTCGAGCTATCAAATTCGTCACATTTCACGTACGTAAATTCTCCTCATCAATTAGTGAATAACTCTCACCATGTTCTATGAAATCATCATATCCATCTGTGAACTCAGACACCTTGGTCTTCTTGGCCTTTCGTCTGAAGTGTTTAGTGTCTTGCTTTCTGTGACTCGTCCCATTGATTACAATTCTATCGTCTCAACTTCTTCATCGTAAGTTGTATTCCGTCCAGCCGTCTCAGCTCTATCACAGCAGCTTTGGATAGCCCCAGCCGTCTGCACACTCCATGTCTTTCCAAGATTTGGGATATGGTGCCTTTCACTCTTTGTCCAGTCTACTAAAGTCCGGATTGCTCCCGCCCTGGTATCTCCAGCGGCTTGTACGTCTCCCGGCAGCTGTGTCTATTGTGGCTTGCATGGTGCCCGCTGTTCTATTCAACTGCGGCTTTGAAGCCATCATGATTCCTGAGGACAACCCGTCATGCTTAGTCGACAATCATGATCTGTCTACCATTGTGATTAGTCGTCAACGGCTTTTCTTTTGTTTACCTTTCTCTTTCTCGTCGCATCGCCCACTTTCCAGAAAACTCTTCTTTTCCTCAGCCGCGATTTTGATCAGAATTCAATCAAACATCAAGTACGCCATCGCGCATTATCATCGGAAGAAGCCCTAGCATTCCTCTCCATCGTGAGTTCTTCATTTTCTATCTTCTATTTATTTCCCGGGAGATGTATCATTGTCGAAGAGCAGGATTACTGACCGCGCAAATTAATTCAGCTTCGCTATCCTCATCTTCGAGCGGATAGTCACCAATTCGACGAGTTCTTTCCATCGCCATCCTCATCAGTCGTAGCTTCAAGCAGCTATTCTCATCATCGGACAGCATCGTCATCTACCCTACTCGCCGGATTGTCGACATCAGCATCCCGAGCCATCACGCCGTCACTTTTATCAGTGGTTGAACTCTTCCGTCAGTATCCTAGTTACTTCAGCTTCATCTTCATCAAGCAGAACCATATTCAGTGAGTCTCCATCCCTGGACGATTGCCCCTAATATTCTTTTCGTAAAGCCGTGCGATACTAATCATCTGCGTGGCCAGATACGATGGAGAGCAACATGCAGCAGCAGCAGCCCACTGGTAGCCAGGCTTCTGGTAGCAACGCCTCTGGCGACAACATGAGCGCCCATGGTCATGGCACCCAGCAGATCCAGCAGCCTCAGATCGAGAACAATGCTCCTGATGGCCCCGTTGCTGACAGCCCTGGTCATAACAACAACATGAACCTTCACGATGATGATATCCAGCAGGCCCAGCAGCACAATGCTCAGCAGCAAAATGCTCAGCAGCACCATATGCCGGCTCCCAACTCTCACCCCGGCATGATCCCGTAAGCACCCAGCCATCAACACTAACATACGATAATGCTAATCAGCTTATGCTCAGGATTGCTCACGACCCCAGAGCCCAGAATCAGCACCAGCTCGCGCTTCAGGTCCACGGCCAGGCTTTCGGCCAGAACAATCAAGCCCATCAGCAGATGCCCAACCCTGTCGGTGCCGGAAACCCTGCTTCCAGTTCGCAGAACGCCATCATGGCTGCTCATGGTCCTCAGTCCCTGGCCTTCGGCCACGCTCTTCATGTCCAGCAGCAGGTGTACGCCGCTGTCGGTGCCGCAATGGCGGCTTCCAACCACAACGCCAATATGGCTGCTCAGCCTCACCAGCAGCAGGCCCCCAACGCTGTCGGTGCCGGAAACCCTGCCCCCAACATCCCTAACGCCATGATGGGTGCTCAAGCTCCCCAGCCAAGCCTCCCTGGAGCCGCCACCCCTATGCACTGCTCGAAGTGCCGTAAGAATGGCAATGTGGCGTGGAACACCCGCTGGCAGGACCCAGATGCACAGTCGCTCGTCTTGAAGACGTTCGCCACTTGCAACCACTGCAAGTGGTCGCCTCGCTTGCAGGACGAGTCGGCTGTGAACTGGGTCCTGCGCAATGCGCCTTGGCTGGTGAACGACGTTGGGGCATACTGCCCTTGTTACGTGGGCAGTGCGGGTAACCATGCGCACCCTATGTGCCTTACTCGGACCCGCATCCGCGCGGGTGCTCCCGCTCCGGCCGCCCTTCACGCCGCTGCTCCGGCCGCTGTGCTCGCTGCCGCCCCCGCCCCGCCCCCGGCCGCGCCTCCTGCTGCTCTCCTTGGGGTTCCGCCTGCGGGCTTCGTGCCCAACCCTGTGGCTCCTGTGGCTCCAATGTTCCCTGACGACGCTGCTCTGGATGATGTTGACGAAGGAGACCCTGAGTTGTTTGTTATGCAAGACGAGCACTAGGAGGAGGGCGTGGTGTCTTGTTAGATTAGAAACCCTCCCCGAAAGGGGAGGGTAATCAACAAGTACAATAGATACTCGAGAGTTCCTGAACATACCTTTCCTCTCTCTGTTCCTCTAGATCCAGTGATTCACAAAGCACAATGAGTTTCTTTCATAGTCTGGAAGTTTCTTACCCCTAATGCACGTATTCGGGTGAGAATCCGTTGCTGCCAGTGAAACTCGAGGCTCAGCGGGATTCATATTGAGCTTACTGCTCTATTATACCAGCTGCCTCTGTGGCCTATCTGTAGTTGGAGCCGCTCAGATTGACGTTGATGAGGGCGACCCGGAGCTTTTTGTCATGCAGGATGAACACTAAGGTAGACCAGAGGTTGGCGTCATGTTAGATTAGAAACCCTCCTAGCAAGGGGAGGATAGTTGAGAAATACAAGAAGAAGATTTGAATGCTCCAGAACATCACTTTGCTATGTTCGTTGTAGCCCCAGTAGTTCACACAACACAATGAGTTTCTTTCACACTTTAGAAGTTGACTATCCCTAACGCACGTATTCGTGTAAGAATCCGCTGCTGCTAGTTGAGATCGAGGCTCGGCCGTACTTATCTGTGTTATGCTCACTGCTCTATTACTCGAGTTGCCCTTTTCGCACCGACGCTGCCTGATGCCAGTGGCGCTCAATACGACGTTGACGAGGGCGACCCAGAGCTGTTCGTGATGCAAGACGAGCACTAGGAGGGCGTGGATGTGCCTTTCCAGATTAGCTCCCCGAAAAGGGAGGGTAGTCAATAAGTACAAAAGATTTTTCAGAGCTCCTGAGCATCACTTCCCTCTGTTCTCTAGATTCAGTAGTTCACACAACATCAGTTTCTTTCGCAATCAAGTTTCCTGCCCCTAATGCACGTGTTCGTGTAGAATCCGTTGCTATCAGTGGAAAATCAAAGCTCAACAGCAGGTTATGGTCGCAGCATCATGGCTCTCGTAGTTCCCATGACCCTGTGGCTTCAATCGAGGTGCTCTATGCAGACATGCGAGAACTACTCTCTTCGGAGCTCCACCTGGGGGGGGCCTTGTCCCTAACCAGGCTGCCCATGTTGCCGCGTTACAGACGATGGAGATACACAGTTGTTCATACCCTGGTATGAGGAGATAGTTTACAGAGTTTGTCGGGGGACTAGACTTCTGATGCTTTGTTTGGCTCCTTTTAGGTTCAGCAGCTCAAATGGGACAATGTGCTCTTTTTACAATGTGAGAGTAAACGACCCCTAACGCACGTATCCGTATGAGACTCGGTTGTAACCAGTGGACGTCGAGGTTCGGCCGAGGCAGGCCGAGAAGGAGAAGCAGAATTGGAGAAGACAGGGAGTTGATTCGCGCGGAACTCCACAGCAGCAATTGCAAGTTGTGACTGGTTGGGACCTTTGGGGGCGACGGCAAGAGGAGGTTTGGAGCCGAAAGCCAAGGCACATTCCCTGTCGACCTGGCAGATGCTTGCAGGAAGGTGGTGTTTATTTCCTGGGGGAATCGGATGGTGGGAGCATCCCTCTTAACTGGAACATGACCAGACAGCGTTGTTTGGAGTATCCAGCGGTTCTTTCGGAATCGGCATCTGCATTTGTAGGTAGAGCCAAGCACGGCGTGTACTACCTTAGGTGTCAGATGTCAGCATCGATCAAGCTTCTCGTAGGTCTCCGTCCATAGTGTCTTCTCATGCCGTGTCCAATGCCAACAATGAGCCAGGAGGCAACGGACAGGCCAGAGTAAGCCGAATAGCCTCGGAAGAAAAATGTGGTCAAAGTCAGCTGTTGAACGCAGGTCGATGGAGAGTGGATGTTGTTGTTGGTCGTAAATTGTTCTCCTGAGGTTGCAGTGGTTGCTGTCGGGTGCAACCGGGGATGACCCATGGGTACGTACTGCCCTGGGTTGCTCCGGATATGGAGCAAATAAGGAATTACCTAAGCCCGGCACGAGAAGAGGGATACGCACCCAGACAATTAACCGTTCGCTCTGCACCTCGAATTTTCAGTCTTTTCGTGACTGCTTCTCGTCTCGACTTCCACACCAAACAGGACATGATTTCAGCATATGCAAGCTGTCTTCCTACGTTGAGGTCCACAGCAGCTGCACATCGCCTGCTCCAACGGCAATGAACCAACAAACGAAAGCGAGGTGGTGGCATTGCAGTTGAAGGGCGCAAAACTTGGGGAAACCCAGCACAAGAGATGTGGGCTGGGCCTGGATGGGGAAGTGCTTCAGCGCATCCAGCCGCTAACTGAACCGGCCATCAAGGCCTAGACGGCTGCCCTACAGCGAACTCCAGCGACTCCTCAGCGGCCCCGGGCATCCAGTGCGGCCCATCACGCCACTAAATCCCCAGACTTACCCCACATCTCCTTCCTCGTCGGATCCGCCACGACCCACTTTACCCTCGCTAAAGTGACGCTAGTCCTCGCCAAACGACCCTAATCTGTTCTTGGACGCGCTAGGCACATTGACTCTTCCGATCCCCCAGGCCACCCGCCGCCATCCCCAACCGTCAATTTCGTCCTTGGGAAAAGTTCCACCAATTGTCCTCCTCCAAGCCTCGGACGACATTTCCCTTCTAGCCTCTTGAAGTCAAGTTTGTCTCTTACGCTTCCTCTTTGCTTGATGCCTCGATCCCAGACTAACCACTGACGAGAAGCCCCCCCAGATTCGACGGTCCGTCGTCCCTACTGCGCCGCCATCCTGCCTCCCCCATCCTGACTTGTTGTCAGTCACCACCAGTCACGAGTTCTCCCCCTTGTCTCCAGACTCGTTACGAAAGACTCCTCGAGGACGAGAACCCCGGACTCGTTTTGGCACCACATCGACCATGGCCCATCAGTAATCTGCCTCTCCCCGCCCCCGGCTGGCTTCCCTTGGCTACTCCCGCCGGCGTCTTGGATGTTTCGACCATTCACAGGTTGTCAACTCCCTCGTCTCTCTCCGCACTCTCTTCCCCATGGCTTCCTTCACCCACTCAACATCTTCCAAGACCGTCAATCCCGCCGCTAGCCACAAGGCCCCGATCGGCTTTCCACTTGAATGTGGGTTCTGCCTCGCACATGGCCAGCATTTCCCATGCCCGCCCAGACATCCAGTACCATGAGGAGAACATGGCTTTGAGCGTGAACGGTATAGCCTACCCCGGCCGGCACGACGAAGGATCTCCAACACGGTTTGATTGGGGAATGGCCCATCCAAAGAGGCCAAGCTTGGGGGAAACAAACTGCTTCTCCACGGGGTCGGCTCAGGCCAGCCAAACCCAACCATCCCATCCTCGTCCCAGTACCATGCATATTCTGCAGACTGCAACCATGGCATGAGACGAGAGGAAGCCGACTGTCTGGTACCACCTTGATCTCTCGCCTCGACGCAACTTTAAAATACTACAACTGCCCACCCCCAGTTCACCGTGCCTGGTCCTCCTTTCTCTTCTCGATACGACTCTGCTCCAGGAGCTTGCCCATCGTCAACAGCCTCAAGCAGCCCGAGAGCGTTCGCAGCGATCGCAGCCATGTCCAACGACATCACCCAAAAGACGGCATCCCAGCCACAGGACCCTATTCACGTCGAAAAGGGTCCATCTCACATCACACACCTCAACGATGTGAGTCTCGACGACAAGGGACTCAACAATGAGGCCCACGAGGGTACCAACATTGAACACAGCTTCGGTGTCTGGCAAGGTCTCAAGACCTACAAGCGCGCCGCCTTCTGGTCCATCCGTGAGTTGTCCCCCTAAAACGGGCCTTCTGCTTACAAGTAATCGTCTGACGCTTCTCCTCTTCGCCAGTCATCTCAACCACGGTCATTATGGAGGGTTACGATGTCACCTTGATCGGCTCCTTTTACGGTTATCCCGCGTTCCGCGAAAAGTACGGCGAATACCTCGACGAGGAAAACGGCTACCAGATCTCTTCATCCTGGCAACAGAAGTTCAACGCCATTGGAGCTGTCGCAAACATCGTCGGTGCCATCCTGAACGGATACTTCACCCCAAAGTTCGGTCACCGCAAGGTCCTCATCTTTTCTCTCGTCTGGCTCGCCGCCTTCGTCTTTGTCGTTTTCTTCGCCCACAACATCGAGATGCAATTGGCTGGTCAAGTTCTCTGCAACATTCCCTGGGGTGTTTTCGCCACAACTGGCCCTGCGTACGCTGCCGAGGTCACGCCCCTTGCTATCCGTGGATACCTGACTTCCTACGTCAACCTGTGCTGGTGTATCGGTCAGTTCATCTCTGCCGGTATCCTCAAAGGACTCGTCGACGTCAAGGGTCAGTGGAGTTACAAGATCCCCTTTGCCGTGCAGTGGGTCTGGCCCATCCCCCTCATCATTGCCGCTTGGCTCGCCCCTGAGTCTCCCTGGCACCACGTTCGTCAGGGCAACCTCGATGCGGCCAAGAAGTCGCTCGCGCGCCTCTCGGAGCCTGAACACAACGTTGATCTCGATGCCACTGTGGCCATGATGGTCCATACGAACAAGCTCGAGATTGAGGAGCAAGCCGGCGCTTCTCTGCTTGACTGCTTCAAGGGAACCAACCTACGACGTACCGAGATCGCTTGCATGGCATTCATGTCTCAGATTACCAACGGCGGCGCCCTCTGCTACTCCGGCTCCTTCTTCTTCCAGCAAACTGGAATCAGCGCCTCCGCTTCGTACGCCATCAGCTTGGGAGGCACCGGTATCGCTTTCCTCGGCACCTGTATCTCTTGGCTTTACATCTACAAGTTTGGTCGTCGTACTATCTGGATTGTCGGATTCTCTCTTCTCGTGGCCTGCTTATGGATCATCGGATTTTTGTCTGTTGCCCCGAACCAGACTGGTGGCATCATCTGGGGACAGTCCATCCTTTGCGTCGTATGGCTCGGCTTCTACTCCATGTCCGTCGGTCCTATCGTTTACACCCTTGTCGCCGAGGTCGGATCTACCCGTCTTCGCACCCAGACTGTCGTCCTGGCTCGCAGCACTTACTACGTCGGTAACATTATCTGCGGTGGTCTCATCCAGCCCAAAATGCTGGCACCTGGTGACTGGAACTTGAAGGGAAAGACCGTGAGTTACCATACCAATTCCAAGCAGCATCTATGCATGACTAACTTTGGCATACAGGCATTCTTCTGGGCTGTCCTTGCTACCCTTACCTGGGTCTGGGGTTACTTCCGCATGTTCGAGACCAAGGGCCGCACCTTTGGCGAGATGGATGTCATGTTCCAGAAGGGTGTCTCGGCTCGCCAGTCCGGCAAGTACCAGCTCACCTCGGAAGAGGTGTTCATTGCCGAGCAGCACCAGACTCTGAGCAGGAACCAGACGGAGAAGTTGTGATTTATGATCAAGTTTACGAGTTAGAGATACCAGAATATAGTCCCTTTCGAGGGAGTAGTCATTTATAGCCATCAAGACCAGACGATGAAACTGCTAGCACGCATGCACGCAAGCTTGTCAAGTTCAAAGTCGGAGACATAATACCCAATCCGTAGTACATTTCTTGCAGAGATGATCTTGTCTCTATACATGAGCGACAGTACCTACGCGCTGCTACTGCTATCATGCCACACAACCCTTACTTAACTTCGAACAAACCCTCAAACCGACAGAGGCAAGACTTCAAAGGCTGGAGTCTCGTAGACATCCCAATTATCTGAAGCCTCGGGGTTTCCAAACGGAACCAAAGCAGCGAATCGCATCTTATACTTGCCAGGAGCGATCTGCGTGCCATTCGCCAGACGACCCAACCACCACAACTCAACACCGTACACACCGACGATGTCTCTGGGCACGTCACGCATGGGCAGCGTGATGATATCGTTCGGGTCATCTACACTAGGATCGATAAACGTCTTCCCCGAGGCCTTCGCCCAGCTCGTCGCCGCGCCCACGAAGCCAGCCTGGCCAACGACAGGAGGGTACTTCCAGTCTCTCTCCACCCAGGAGGCATCGAAGATGTCCCACCGCAGCTCGCGGGTGGCGTACTGAATGCGGGCGTACAGGTTCGGGAAGTCCTGGACCGCAGGGTCAAGGTTGAACGTGAAGTTGGATTTCTGGGCAATAGGGATGTCGCTACGCGTAGATGTGATGCGCGGGAAGCCCGTCGGATACTGGAACATGATACCCACGTCTTTGTGAAGGTCCGCAGCCAGACCCAGGTACGGCACACCGAGCGTCTCACCATTGCTTCCCTTTATGAGGACTTTTCCGCTGTAAAGAGGCAACTTGGCCGGATCAAGGCTCTGGGCTGCGGCGTCGGGGTAGTTGAAGCCGAACTGAGCAGTCTTCGTCTCTCCCGGCTGGACAGTCAAGGGGCCGGGGAAGGAGATCGACGGCGTCATCTTCTGAGGCGCGGCCATGACCTCCTCGAACCACGCAATCTTGGGCGTTCCCCACGCGGTCGGATCGAGGTTGACGGTGTTCATGCCGCCAAACTCCTGCTGCTCAAAGGTGTACGTCACGGGCTCGGCGCCGGCGTTGGTGATGTCGACGGCATGGTACCGGCTGAAGTGATGTGTGTCGTTGAGGGCGAACTTGGCAAAGGAGAGGGTGGTACCGTACTCGAGGACTTTGGTGGCGTTGATGAGACCCGTTCCTACTTGCGCTACGGGCGCGAGAAAGTCATATGGGTTGTTGTTGAGCTGGCCGTCGTCCCATTTGATCGCCTCACCGGAGGAAATGAGACGCATGGCGAGGTTCTTTGCCCATTCTGGCCCGTGAACGCTGCGTCCTCCGAATTTACCCGCCCAGAGAGCTGCAACGCCTGCGACGTAGGGACAGCTCATGGACGTGCCGCTGAGGATGGCATACCCCCCGCCAACATACGAACTCAAGATCTGGCCACCGGGGGCTGCGACATCAGGCTTGATGAAGAGGTCATTCGTGGCGCCGATGGAAGTGAAGGAGCTCGCGACACCGCCGTTCTCTTCGTTCTTGATGCCGACGATGTGGAAGATGGGGCGCTCCGTGAAGTCTGCCGTCACCTTGCCGCCCGCGCGGACGGTGTCGATGATGGCGGCGCCGACGCGTGCGTCAACCATTGCGATGAGGCTGGAGGTGTCTTCCGTCGTTGGGCGTACGAGTGGCATCTCGTTGCTGTAGAAGAGGATGTGGGAGGCGTTGAAGGGGGCTAGGTTCCGCTGCTTCTGGTCAAAGTTGCAGCCTCCCCGGCGGACTAGGGCCACGACTCCCGTGAGGTCGGGGGTAGGTCCCGCAGGAAGAGGGTTGCAGGCCTCATCTGCGGTACTCGAGTTGAGGCTCAGGGGCACGATGGGCCAATCCTTCACCTCGGAAGGGTACCAATCTTCAACAGCACGATACGCAACCCTCGTCTCATTCGTCTCGCCGCCGAGGGAGAAAACACCCCGGAAGGACGAGGACGCGAGCACGTCAGCCTCGACGGAGGCCACAGCGACGACATGCTCGCCCGAGGAGCCGCTGCTGGCTGCGTATGCGCCGGCTTGCCCGTCGTTGCCGGCGGAGATAGTGATGACGACGCCCTGGTCTGCGAGGCGCGTGGCGACGACGGCCCAGGCGTTGTCGGTGAAGCCGCTGATGCCGCCGATGGAGGAGGTGATGATGTCCACGCCGGCTTCGTAGGCTGCGAGGAAGGCTTCGATGAGGGTGTCTTCGTCGGTGCCGTCTACTGTGCCGAAGACTTTGTAGGCGTAGAGAGTTGCTGCCGGGGCGACGCCGGTGAGGCTTGAGGGCGTGTTAGCTGGGAAGATTTGATGTGTGGTGAGAGGTATGGACTTACATGCTGCTGTTACCGGCGATGATGCCGGCGACGTGGGTCCCGTGGCCTTGCTGGTCCAAGGGGTCGGCGTCGGGGTTCTTTACTTGACCCTCGTTTGGCCAAGCTGAAGCTGTTAGCATCTGAATGATCGAAGAGGGGTTCTAAGTGAACTTACATCCATCACCAACAAAGTCATAACCACCAGCAACCTTGAAGCCCTCACCAAATCCACCACCGAGCTGTTGTATGTCAGCAACTCACCGAACATTTCACACGGAGACTCATTCACGTACCGCTTCATGAGTATACCAAATCCCAGTATCAACAACAGCAACTTTGGCGCCCTTGCCCAACACACCAGCCTCATGCAGCTTATCAACACCAGTCATGTGGTGAATATCGTAGTCAATGGCAGTAGCATTCTCCACGAACGAGGCAAGCGGCGTGCTAGGCGCAAGCTTCAACTTGCGGGACTGCCATGCCACCTTCACGGGCTCAAGCGCTTGCAGGGAGTCAATGTTCTCCACGTCCGTCTCGACGGCGGCACCAGTGAAGATGTCGCTGGTGAAGACGCGGAGGACCTTTGCGCCGCGCTGGTTGGCGATGTCGGCGGCTAGGGCTGATGCGTCGGCGCCCTGGGGTTGTCAGTATGGTTCCTTGGTTGTTTGGTAGAGGCTGAGGAGATGAGTGTACCTTGTCGAACTCGACGATGAAGCGTTTGGGCTCGACTGTCGTCTTGTTTGCTGCTGTCTCGGGGGCGTTGTCGTCTGCTCGGCGCATGAGCGGGTGATTGCTCTGGGCAGCAATGCCTACCACACTCGTGGCGGCAAGCAAAAGAGTGGACAGATACATCCTGCGTCCAGGGGCAATACCCTTCTTTCTGACGATTAAACGAATGTGGGATCACAGGAGATCTGGTGACGTGAAGCCGTGCCCCTCGAAAGCCTCTTCATCAACTGTACGAGAACATGATGATGGCACTATATACAGTAACGACACCATCGCGACTCGTATCTTGAGCATCTAATTTCCATTATCCAGCGCGTCCGGCGTGTTGTTGCATTAGCCAGTGACCCCAACGCAAGTGACATGCCAATGCAATCGTAGGTCGTTCGTATTCGGCGCTGCGACCCTATCAAGCATGGGTTACCGACAAGGGCATTCATTAAACATCTTGGCAAGCTGGCGAGCTATCTACCACTGCTTTTTTTATCACGCCTCTCACTACCTATGAGCGAGTCTGTATTAAGAGAGTCATCTGTAGATCACACGATACGCCATATCTCGAGGATAAGACTACATCTGCAGCCCATAAAGCATCCTTAATGAGATTGAAGCCGACGTCGGCTCTGCCATGCCTTTTTCTCGTGTCCAAAGACTCGAGAGTGGCTCGATTGCCAACGCAACTTCACATTTGGGCCTAGCACGGCTCCATGGCCAATGTAACCCTGTTCACGACCTTCTCTTTTCTCTCTTGCTGCCCTGCAGGCAAACTGCAGGAGCTGCAGGAACGGGGGCTCCGTGCGATGCATGCCAATATGTGCCAACACCAATTCGTTCGGCTAACCTGTAATAATGCGGAAGAAGCAAACAGGTGGGCCAACTTTCCACGGCGTCCGAGGGGGCATGCGGATCCCGGGGATGCCAATCGGGGTCTATCATGGCCGGCCGGAAAATGTGGAATATCGCGGCAATTGACAACGATGAGTGAACGGACATATTGCGTGCAGACTTTTTTATTTCCCGGTACCTTAGTTGTGCGTGGGAGTCATTGGTGAAGTCATCCAACTCTACTCCTTTACCCGCACAGACGGCGAGATTTCGACACTTCCAGATGACAGACTGAATCGAAAAGAAGAAAATTCGGTCTCGCGGACTGTGACAAAAGGCCGAGCGTAAAGAACCACACTATGGCGGCAATGAGACGACTGGTTTCCATTCATCCAACTTGACAGACGACAGACGTCTAGTTTCAAAAGGAACCGATAAATCTGCCCACAAAACATCCAAAACAATGGCGCCGTAATCCCAAGCCGGGACGACTTACGACGTTGACGGGAAACAAATGGAACTCGGCGAATGGGATTGGTTCATCGGCAGACGGCAGTCATAAAGCAAACAAGCTGCCGGTGTCTCGAGTCTCCGCGTGGCGTAGACCATAGCGTTTCTGGCCCGAGACACGAATGTTTGTCTTCCCCCGCAAACCGTGACATGAGCTCGAAGCTTGGTCCAGGGAGCGGTTGTTGAATATTCTGCTTACACTGCGTATGTGCTTGGTCTGTGATTAGGAACGTCATGTTCCTTGGCAGTTGGTGTATTTGACGTTCTACCGACAGGGCCTACATGCGACTTTGTTTCCAAGAGCGATTGGAACTCCTAGAGCATAACCCAGAGTTTATTCAAGAGACATTCTAGTCTGACAAATGGCTCTGTAAGTGGGATACGTTTCGCACTGCCTCCATAATCTTGGGTTATGTGGGATAGTTATCTCATGAATCTATCAACCAAAGACTCACACCGGAAGATGGTATTCTATGGGACCAAATGACAATCTTGGCTAATCTCGATGGCTCGAGCTCGCCCAGTGATTGCCTGACATGAGTGTTAGGACGATATACAATGAGACGGCGCGACGATCTTGGCTTGTTTCGCTGGCCAAGACATCAGGTTGCTTGGTCTAACATCAACCCAACTCGCCCCATCTTCAACGTCCGCCACACATTGAACCATCCATCCGGTCCAGAGACTGAAGAAACAACTGCCATTCGTTGTGAGAAACAGCTGACATCGAAAGAAGGCTGACTAGCCTCAACTGTTTCCGCCCAAAAGTTTGAGTTAAAGTTTGGGGTCAAATGCTTCAGGCCAGGGATGACACCTCGACACGCCGTTTTACCACGATTTCATAAATTGCCCAGATAGGGCAAGATTCGCTTCTCTGCCGCGTAAAGAAGCGATCGAGCCAAGACTCTTCACTCGTTTCCTGTGTTTCCTGTGTTTCGTCTACCATCCCTGTTCAGCCCTGGGAAAAGCTTATGTTTACTCTTCCTTCCAACGACCTCCCCCTTTGCCCTTTCAAGTCATCGCCGGGAGCTTAATGACTTGCCCAACGATGGATAGAGGAATACGGATGCCGTGCCGGATGAAGATTCTTGCTTCCAACCAATTGCCATCACCTTCGCCTTCCGCGGCGAACTCTGATAGCAAGCGCTCTCCTAGCTGGCCGGGGTTTGTTCACTGTTCCCTTTGTCCCAAAGCACGATTCCCATGCTTTATACTTTAAGGAACAAACACTGTCCGCCGCACCAGCTGCATCTGCGGCTGCACCCTCCTCGCGTCCGCGTCCACTCAGCGTCCATCGGGGTAATATCGTTATGCTTCTTTCCGCCAAGCAAACAACCTTAAGCCTGCTAAGCGCTTGGCGAAGGCGGGAGAGATCTTCAGGGGGCCTCTAGAAGCGGTCGCTAGCTTCAGGAACATACTTGCCAAGGTGCCGACGACTTGCGCTACGTGGGATAAAAGTCTTGTTTCTGTCTTGGCTTGCCGGCTCCCGGTGTAAGGTGACCCTGCCTGTCGGTATTGTACTCCGGTCGATAAGCTTGAACTGCCGACCGCGACTATTCCCAAGTGACCTCAACTTAACCCTGGCCTAGTTCTCAAGTGGACATGGAAACGAAGTTAAGCTTTCCAAGATGAAGCATTGCGATTGGTAGTATTTGCCGATGGTCAACGTGCCTTGGATCTAGTTCATCGAACCAGTCAGTGCGTTCCAGGCACGATATCAACGTTTCAGGAACGGACCACGGTCACGGCCACTTTTTGCCGCGAGGAACAGCCAGACTGATGTCAATGGAAGGAGATGGGAGGGGGGGGTGTGGGAGTGTATTCGCGATTCAGGTGTTTGCTAAATAGTCTCGACACGAACCTCTTCTCCACGCTCGACACGCTCGTGTGTATCTGTCGTAATTCTGCCAGACCAAACCTGTCATCCAAACCCCGCCACAAGATCCATAATGCGATGTGGACAATGAGCGAAGACGAGCTCGTGGCCGCCTCGCCGCCCCCGCCGGGCGTCGTATCCAACTTCGACAACCCCGCTGAGTCCCTCGTGCCACAGGTATTGATCGTCGCCATCCTTCTCAACCTACTAGCCATCATCTTCTGCGGGATCCGCCTGTACACGGTCAAGGTCGTGATCCACCGCCACCAACGTGACGACGACCTCATCTTCATCGGACTGCTCTTCGCTACGGCATACTCGGTGATACAAGTCTACGAGACGAGGAATGGAGCCGGGCACCACATCTGGGACGTGAGCCGGGCCGACGCCGTGGCTTTCCATAAGCTGAGCATGGTTGATCTCGCGGCTTACAGCCTCTCTGTTCTCTTCACAAAAGCCTCGATTCTCGTGTTCTACCTCCGCTTCCCTCTCAAGCGCGCTGTGAGAATCGTCGTATACGTGGTCATGTTTGCGACGGTGGCGTACTCGCTCGCTGGCGCGCTTGGCTGGGCATACCTCTGCACCCCCATGGAGAGGATTTGGGATATGGACGTGCCGGGAACCTGTGTTGACCGGTCGATGTGGTGGTTGATGCTATCCGTCTGCAACGTCGCCACCGATCTCGCTATCTTGCTGCTACCGATCTGGATTCTCTCGCCCCTATCATTGAGGCTGGTCAAGAAAATTGAGATGACGATCTTCCTCATGGCCGGAGGCTTGTAGGTTGATTCTGCACATTGAGGACAACAAGACATCGCTAATGTCTTCTCTAGCGTCCTCGGGCCCAGTATCGTCCGCATGGTCATGATTCCTCTCGGCTTCAACAATGCCGATTTCACCTGGACCGCTTCAATAAGCATCATCTGGTGGTAAGTATCTCCAGCCCCGAACCTAGGCATATTTGATGGCTAACTCTGTGCCTAGCGTCGTGGAGGCCAATGTCGGCATCATCTGCACCTGTCTACCCTTCCTCAAGGCTTTCATGAAGCACGTGGCACCGGGCATCGCCAAACGATTCTACGTTCCGGACGAGCCGCAATCACCCACGGTCTTTGACCGCGCTGCCGCTCTACAGAGTCTGCCGCCAGTTCCCAAGTCAGCACGACGCAAGAGCTTCGGCAGGCAGGCTGTCGGTGACGTGCCGGACGCTGAGATGCGCACGGTTCGATCAAATTGGCCGTTGAAGAACGAAGAGCCCTTTGATCACGTCGAGTATCAAGATGTGAGACTGTCGCAAGACCATAAGACGCCATACCCTGCGAAGGCTGTGGATGTTACGGAGATGGTGTGAATTGGCATAGGCTGCGTTTATTTGTTGATGATACCCCCTTGGTTTAATGCGTGTCGAACTTCTTTGGCCTTAGTTTGAAGGTTGCAAGGGGAGAGTGTTGGGGTTAGTGGTGATTCGGGTAAGTTCTGATTTCTCTTGGCTGATTCTGTCATTGTTTGCTGACAAACTTCGTCAAGATGTGATGATGTTGCGGGCACCGACGCACAGGTGTGAAACGAACCGGTGGGATCACAGGCGTCTTACCCACTCCAACTGAGCCTGCGCCGCATCGGACATGTTTATCGTCCGGCTCCTTGGCTCATGGCACTCGCCTCGGAGCCGGGGTCTGGTGTACGGTGTACCAAAGTTCTGTGCTTTGCATCTCGACAGACGTCATGTCTGTTGATGTGCTCGGCGATAGCGAAAATGCCGTGACGCGAAAATCTCGGATTGGAGAAATCAAAGGTCATGTAAAGGTGGTTTCGGACCATTTTTCCGTGAGTGTGAGGGAGGTGTTTGCGAGGATTGGATCTCAAGGGCAAACCGCAAAGTCCTTGAAGGTGGTCAGCATTTAGTTGAAAGCCTAGCCAAAGCATATTAATAATGGAGAACTGAACAACTAAAGAGCAATAAGCTTCAACTCGGAAGTCCACTGTCTGGCGCCGTTCTAAATGATGCTTACTTCAGAGATTTACCATAAGGCCAACCAATCTCGGCGAGAGACGCACATGCCCACGGCTCATGCCACCATCGCCGCAGTGGAGACCATTCGGCGCCGAGATCTGCGAAAAGGGTTCGAGATTGCAGTGTTTGCTAACAAAATGATACTTCGGCCTCGGCGCTCATGAGAGCGCCGCACGCCGAAAGGATCTCCATCACCGCCGCCAAAGCGCGCCAAACCCACACCATCTCGCGCCGCGAGCAGTGGTAGTGCACCAAATCACTGGAAACATTGGTCTAGATTGGAAGCAAACTTGACTCAATGACCAGGTTTAGGACCCTCTCGGTCGTAACGGAAACCGATTTCTAATGCGATAATGGCCCCTGGCCTATCTAGGGTGACGATGCAGATCTCCCTGCGGCGGCCGGTGCGGACATGGGCCGCTGTCGCTGAGATCTCTTCTCTTTGTCGTTTGGCCTCCGGATCTGATCTCTTCCTTCTGTTCACATAAAGAAAGAATCTTGAGAAATACTTAACCCATGTTCATCCCTTGTTGGATAGGGTCATCCTCATCAGACAATTCCACAGACGACTTCAACAACTCAGCTCTTCAATCAAAATATCAATAAAGCTTCTCAAAGCTATCAGAGCGGCTCGGAATCCACCAGCAAGCCTTTGGCCAAAACAACAGAACTTGCGCCGAAAATGTCGAAGCAACAACAGCTTTCGTCCCCAGCGGACTCCCAAATGACCTTCTCAGACCCGCACCCAGCTGCTGCAGAAGCCAAAGTAGACCAGAACACAACAGATTACTCTTCCGATCACCCTTCAACGATACGGCAGTCAGACCCGGAAAAAGGTGGTCCTCCAGCCGGCGGCGCAAAGCCGTCGTGGCCAGGCAGCGATGCGCCGGACGGAGGTGTCACGGCATGGCTTGTAGTTCTTGGCGCTTGGTGCACATCATTTTGCAGTTTCGGATGGGTGAACAGTAAGTCGCACTTCCCATTGCGACGTTGAGGCTGAAGTCTATTTTTTTTTTTTTGTCTCTGCTTTCTTGGGGTTCCGGAAGCTAACGAAGGTTGATCTGCAGGTGTCGGAGCTTTCCAGGAATACTACCAGAACGACCTGCTTCGCAACTACTCGCCGAGTACCATTTCGTGGATTCCTTCTCTCCAGATCTTCTTCATGATGGCAATGGTAATTCTTGGTCTTTTCATTGCCCAAATTAGAATATGCAAACTGATACCTTCATAGGGCCCCGTCATCGGCCAGCTATACGACCATTACGGTCCCCGCTACCTCATCCTCGCCGGCACCTTTCTTCACGTCTTTGGTCTCATGATGACCTCTCTCGCAACGCAGTACTGGCAGATCCTCTTGGCACAAGGCGTGTGCTCCGCCATCGGTGTCGCAGCCATCTTCCAGCCGGCACTGAACACCATCCACGGATGGTTCAACGTCAAGCGCGGAGCCGCTTTCGGCCTCCTCTCTACCGGCTCTAGCATCGGCGGCATCATCTTCCCGATCATGGTGACGAGATTGATCAAGTCTCTGGGGTACCCCTGGGCAATGCGCATCTGCGCTTTCATGATCCTCGGCCTCCTCGTCATCGCAAACCTCACGGTCAAGGCCTTCCACCCACCACGACCCCAGAAGGTATCTATGGATCAGCTCATCCGTCCCTTTAAGGAGTATGAGTTTGTCTGCGTCGTCATCGGATTTTTCCTCTTCACCTACGGCATTTTCGTGCCCATCAACTACATCCAAGTCCAGGCCCTCGAGGCTGGCATGGACCCCAACCTGGCGCAGTACCTGGTCGCCATCCTCAACGCCGGCAGCCTCTTCGGCCGAATGTTCTCCGGCATCATGGGCGACAAGATTGGCAAGTACAACATCTTCGTGGTGGTGTGCTACCTGACCTCGATCTGGATGCTCGCCCTCTGGATCCCGGCCAACACGGACGGCGCGCTAATCGCCTTCGCCGTCCTCTTCGGCTTCTGCTCCGGCGCGTACGTTTCGCTGATTGCACCCCTCATCGCCCAGATCTCGCCCCTCCACGAGATTGGCTTCCGCACGGGAATCACGTTCTTCACAAACTCTATTGGCGGTCTAACGACTAACCCTATCAACGGAGCCATCTTGGCTGGTTCCGGTGGGTGGGTCGGCATCAAGGTGTTCTCGGGTGTGTTTTGCATTGCAGGAACGACTTTCATCCTTGCAGCGAGAATTCACCGCACCGGATGGAAGGTCTTCACTGCATTCTAGACTGTACTCATGGCAAGGAAGCATTGTTATAATATTAATGACGGATTGGGGCGGCAGCATACATTAATATGTCCATGAAGGAATCTGGCATTAGCATATAGACATCAGTACTCGTTTTGTATTCAATACCCTCAACTCTTTTCATACTCTCCTCACATATCGCCTAGACAGCTCGTGTCGATGTAGTTAAACACTGAGGCCATACTATCAAAGATGAGCGAGTGTTGTAAAGACCTGAAGTGACAATGCGTCACCCGCATCACAATCGCCGTGTCAAAACAATCGCTATGACATCCTAATTAATAACCCATGATCGATTGAATCCTTGAACGCTGCCCACTACAACCATCGCGGCTATTGAATTCATTAAAATTGATTTACGGTTTTAGAGCAAGGACCTTGTAACCCGCACCGTGCAAAAGCTTAATCAATCAAAGACCTCGTGTTGTAGAACCTCTAAGCTCTACGTTGAGACGAATCTTGAGTCGGAGAACCATGATCCACGAATGAGATGGCCCTCAAAGTCAATCGACCACTTGGCCACTTGGCGCCTACATGCAGTCAAGATGACGACTGGTTCCACTCGAGGCCGTCATCGTGATCAATCTATCGACGGTCTGACTGCCTACCGCAAAACGGTTCGATAGCAAGCTTCTGTAAGGCAGTTGGGTGCTCATGGGGTGGCTTGGTTGACGAGTCCGTTCAGCATGAAGGCTGCCCCAACTACAGGCTGAAGAAAACTTTCAAAACGCCGTCGAATGAAGATTACGACCGATTTGGACATCTGTTGAAGTAGATAGACCTACTAACGATGCCCGAAGGCAGCGTACATATATGTGCGGGTGCTAAAGGGGCAGATAGTAATTGCCTAAGCCACGGTCACAATTCTGTAAGAGATTACGCGTTTATAGCGCTTCATCGGCAGTGTAAATTCACATAACGTGACGCTCGTAGGCAAAAGTCGAGAAACAGGATAGACATCTGTGGTGTTAGTTGTTACAGGTAAGTGGTCCAAGAGAGGACTGATTCCAGGGGCTTTTGGAACGAACAGCATGTCTTCCCTTAACTATATCAAGTCGATAGACGTATCTTCGAGAATGTTCATCAGACTTTGAGCTTCACAGCTGATTGGTCGTAGAGTAGAAGCCTGATGGATCAAGGGCGAAAGGTGGGGATCTGAATAAGTATAACTATAATGTTACTCCAGGTAGCTCCTGTTTATTCGGTGAAGTTGCTTTCGCGTACAATCTAATTATTCTGAGCAACAGAATAATCACACACTATTGGGAACGTAGGCTCAATTGTTAAGTTGCGCTGGTATCGCCTGAAGCAACACTCGTCACTTTTTTACTTTTGACTAATTAATGCCCACCATACAATTTCAAAAGACCATAAAATCAACTGACTGAACGATCACTTATTGCGTAAGCTGGTCTATGAAAATCTTGAGCTTGCATCCAATCGCATTTGAGTGCGTTGGTCGGAGGATTTTCCAGCAGTCACTATCCATTCTGAAGAAAATTGAAGGAAGAGGAGGCGGACGTTGAAGTCCGTCCACCACGCGCTCTTCGGTAGCAATCTGAGTACTTTAGGAACTCCATCCATGATGCTAGACTCAATTAATCTTAGGGAACTGGCTTGCGCTTAATTTCAACAGTCATCAAAGCCAATTCTTTGCTTCATGGTTTCCAACTTCCCAACAGTTTCGTGTCGCCAAGATTAAGCATGTACGTGCTATCTGCATCTCGCTAATCCAAGCCGTGGTCAGCATGAAGTGTCCCACAGTCGTCGCATGATCTCAAAATTCCCAAAGCTACTTATTCCCATTAGACTCATCGGCATGGCAACTCGTCTGTTGGAAGTCGGACATCGAGTCCGACCTTCCGGTCGAGTTGCTCCGGCCAGGCCGGTCCCTTTGCGAATTCCAACTTGCGATCGACGAGGAAAACGCCCTATTGGTGGAACCTGCCTCGGACATGGAGTTCTGATGCACTCTGGCCGTACATCATTCGCATCTGGCAGCGGATAGCTCCGTGATCTGCATCTGTTGCCTGAATTTCTCTGTGGGTTGCCAATGTAGGTAGACGAACGTGTTGATGTCCTGCGAGTCCTCGAAGCGCACTTGCCAGTACAGGGACTAGTGAGCCACGCGTACGACAAGGAAACGAGAACAGAGGCTTCAACATGGCTACTTCATATCCTCTCGCCCGTCCCGGAGACATGGAAGAGCCGAAGATAGGGGTGAGATGGCATCATCTTCAACGTGACTACTCGAAATGAGGAGAATATCTCCAGTATAAAGAGTTTTTCAAGATCCTTTGTCTCAGTAACTATTGACAACATATTCAAACACTTCATGAGCTAGAATAGATCGCCTGAGGAGCCAACCACAACTATGATCTTGTCATTCTATAGTTTTCCATCACTGCTGGTACTTGGTGTTCTGGCGACCCAAGGTGCCGTCGCAGCATACCCAGGCTTCGCTGGTCTGAAGACTCTTTTCACGTTGTAAGTTTCGTTTCTGAAATACCCCATTATTCTAAGGTTGATTTAAAGTGCAGTGGAGATTCCTATACCAGGACTGGATTCTATGTCACTCGCGATCAACCATCCATTGCCAATCCGCTTGGGAACCCGACGTACCCAGGCCCAACCAGCGCAAATGGAGAAAACTGGATCCAATACTTGACCACCAAACATAATGCTTCCCTGCTGTTTACCTACAACTTCGCGGCGAGCGGTGCCACTGTCGACAACAGCCTTGTGGCGTCTAGCATCGACGTTGTAAACCAAGTTGAAGAGGGGTTCATCCCCAACTATACCGGGACAAACCAAACTTGGGATGCCGAGTCTACCCTGTTCGGCTTCTTCATCGGTATCAACGACATTGGAAAGTCATATACCAATGGCAACTCCACGGAGCTTCACCCGATGATCTTTGATAAGTACGAGAAGTTGGTGGAAGAAGTCTACGAGGCGGGTGCTCGGAACTTCCTGTTCCTCAATGTACCACCACTTGAGCGGATGCCGAGAACAACCCAATCCAGCGCCGCTGGAGAGCGGATTCCTCTTGAGAAAGCCGCGGTAGCAGACTGGAACGAGCGCCTGGGAGTATTTGTTAAGAACTTACGAGAGACTCACGGAGACGTGACTGCATTTCAGTACGACACCTATGGATTGTTTGACAGAGTCATGGATACACCCGAACGTTACAAAGAAACGGCAGTCTACAAGAACACGACGACATACTGTTCAGCATACCAAAAGTAAGACAGGCTTTCCAAGTCCATGCCAGGCGACAGACAAGCTTGACTAACACCCGACCTAGTGGGACGCCTGAGCCAGACACTAAATGGGACAACTGCACCTATGCTGCTAATGAGTATATGTGGATTAACAGTCTGCACCCGACGTCGCCCGTTCACTTGGCACTGGCGAGAAGCATCTCAAGGGCCTTGGCTTGATCTCAAAAGCGCGAAACTGAAAATTTCAGATGTGCATTGCCTCATGTGCCAGAGCTTCAAGACACTTGCCCATGTACCTAGTCTTCATCATAGAACACAAATGCTCTGACCTCAATGCTCGCTCTCGGCTCACCAGCGCCTTCTGGCAAGTCCGTATCCTTGAAGGCACAGTGAGGCACTCTTCTGGGAACACCAGGCTTCGTGCTTGAGTCCACTTGCTTGAAGAACAACACGTCATCAACCTGTTGCTGGTCTTTGAAATACCACTTGTGCTGCGAAGTCGTCGGCGGACGAACTTCGACGGCTTCAGTGTCATGATCCGGAAATCGGACTGGTACAAACACCAAGTCCGAGTCTGGTATAGTCCGGGCATCCGACACCGCGAAAGGGTCCCGAGTTATCGGGCGAATGGGTCGCCACATCTGCGGATCTTGTCAGCTAATCTGGAGTTTGACTGAGGACCAAGGTTTGCTTGCGTTGATAATCTGGTATCGGGGTTTCTTGAGCAATTCTTCTGCTCTTTCCTTCAGCCATCTTTCGGCGACGCCTTCAGCTGCCTTGAATGACTGGTCCACATGTACTCCATACAACGGTGCCGGACCCTTCGGGCCTTCACCGTCTTTGGGACCGCGACGAATGATGTGTGTCATGATATGAACCAGGCAGGGCTTGGGCCTATGCGTGTCAGCATTATGCTAGACTTGTGATATTTTGGGTGGGCAGACAAAGCTTCATCGCAAAACGGACTGAAAGTAACTCACATGTTCTCGGTCTCGGATAAGACTTTGTAGCACAGTTTCTCCATCTCAGGGTAGTTTACCCGCTTAATTTCCTCATCATCATCCCAGTTGGTTAATTGACTTTGATGCTTGACATAGTGGAAGCCTTGAACATCGAGCGTGAATTCATCCTCTCTACCAGTGATATCAGTGATAGTTGTTGGGATCTCGACTTTGGGTTGAGGCTTGCCGGGTTCCGGACTTTTCCATCACAAATTAGCTTTCCAACAAATTAAGTCGGAAATGGCATCCATCTTACCCTCCAATTATCATGGGCACCAAAGGTACACCCGGATCATCAAAGTATTTGATCTTTGAATGTACTTGACGTCCCTGTTGTCCCATCTTGACGGTTGTTGAAGCGTTCGATACAGTATTTCAAGAAGCTCTCGAGTATTACCTCTCAGGCGGCCTTCGAGAAGAGGGAGTTTCTGCTGGTTTTGAAGAGAGCTCATGGTATTGTAGACATGGGCATATCTGTTTATCTGTTCTATCGCCGCGAGTCAGAATCTTGGGGTAAACAGAGTGCGGCAACATGGCTACCCCGGCTGTTAGGAGGAGAACATGCACCAATCCCCATTTCGATAGGCAGTCCTAAGATCTCCTGCCTTGGTGGAGATGACCCCGACCATTCAGTATTTTCTCAGAACTGGAAAGAGAGTGGTTTAGGCAATGAATGAAGTTATCAAGACCCAGCCTAAGCTTTGAAGGAGTACTCGGACCCATAATCGTGTAAAGTCCTTTTTGCTTCACGATGCCAAGAGCTGACGTTCGGTCCCGAGAGCTTGGCTTGGAAAGCAAGTTCAGCGTTGGCAGCGGGCGGCCCGCTGCCCCTCTGTTTGTAGCGTCTAGTCCGCTGTGGGAGCCGGAGATGCGCATGAATCGCGAAGGTTTGCAGGGAGTCAAGCAGACGACCATTCAAATTCTCGGTTGGTCTTATCTCTGAGCGATCTGCATGGGGTTCGTCTAATGACATGTCCTCCAGACTGGGCCATTCCCTGCAGTGTTGCACTTATTTGGAGTGCTCGGTCGTGATTCGTTGATGGGTCTTGTCCCTCAACTTGGTCAAAGAAATCAGATGTTGCTTGTCTGATTATTGTGTATCGCAATCGCGGCATTTCCAATCGGCTGGTAAATATTCCTCTAGGCTCTGTTCCAGCAGCGGGACTACCCGAAGACGCCATCCCGAGATGAACAATTCGAAGGGGATTGGATGATCATTGATGGCATTCGACTTAAGCCAACAAACCACGTGGTTCTCTGTCATGGCTGAAAAGTGGTGGTCAAAGGAGACTTGGTCCACGGCAAAGTTAAGTACGTCATCAACGTAAAGCCACGGGACCTAGGCTCACGTTTGCAATGCTTCAAGAATTTTGCAGAGATTTGGATATTACAAGGAAGAGGCTTGCGTTGAGTATTAGATGAAGAGACTCAGGCACGAAAAGAAAACGCTATTACAACCAGCTCCGTGATTGATGAAGTGCGGACGGCACTCATCTTCACAAAGACACAACAATCTTCTTCGCCGAGACTCCCTTGTAGCTTACTTCGAATGCCTCTTGTATGGATTCCAAGCCCTTGCCAACAACATGCGGCTTGGGAGCCGGGATGAACTTGCCCTGGGCCAGTGCTTGAGGTAGGAAGTCTCGGTAAATCGCCGCACCGACCTCGTTCGCCATGAGATCGCTTCCCCAGATGAACTTGGTTCTCACCTCGCTCGTCTTGCACTTGAATGTCGCGGTTGCGCTCTCGGAAGCCATCGCCCACAGCAACGAAACAGTTTCCGAAACGTTTGTGGGCGGTCTACCAGGTCCGGCGACACTGGCTTGCGCGACAAACTTACGGCCCTTGCAAGCGGCCATGATGTTGATACAGGGGATCAGGGACCCCGCCCCGATAGCGATTGCGCCAGCAGACTTCCGTTTCTGGAACGCCTTGATAATGTCTTGAACAACAGCGGGACTGCGATAATCAAAGACTTCGGTGGCACCGAGAGACTTGACATAGTCAAAGTTCTTCGGGGATGCTGTCACAATGACTTCGTAACCAGCTCCAGCGGCAAGCTGAATGGCGTTGGACCCCACGCTTGTCGAGCCGCCCCAGACTAAGACCGTCTCCCCGGTGGGTTTTGCAGAAACGTCTGGGTGTCGAAGACCGACAAGGTCCTTCATGAAGAGACCGCAGGCAGCTGTCGAAGCACCCAAAGGTATTACACAAGCCTCCTCGAATGTAATTGAATCGGGAATTTGAGAAGTCAGGTCGGCTCGCAATACGACGTATTCTTGAAAACCGCCTTCTGATGACTTATTGCTTCGCTTGTCGAGACCCACGGCGTGGCCAAGAACACGGTCGCCGATCTTGAACCGATCCTGAGCGCCTGGGCCGACTTCGACGACATCGCCAGAGACGTCGTTGCCGAGGATGCAGGGGTACTTGACCCAGTCGTAGAGTATGTCGCCGGTTTCTTGCTTGAACCAGTCGACTGGATTGATAGCTACAGCTCTATTCCGAATGACGATCTCATTCTGGCCTGCTGGTGTGTACGGGGCTGACTGAACCTGCAAGGGCTTGGCCTTTTTAGCTGTCAGCCAAGCGGCTTGATTGATAGGCATTGTGTGAGTTTGGAATTATAAGAAAACTAGAGCTTTTTGAAAGAAAAAGATTCCGTAAGGTGATGAATAGAAAAGCTGCTATGTTTCTGATACGGAGTGATAAATGCTATTGGTTTCACGATGTATTGCTTGCGGTGTTTCGCTCACGTTGGGTATTTATACATCTCAAAATCAGGGCCCTCGGCCAACCTTGACGTTTCGATGTCCAGACGGGATTAAGTTATGTCCAGACTGCACGCATCATTGACAACGTCGCGAATCCCATCTCAAGTTGAAGGACTTCACGATCTCGTCCCAGAGACAATTTGTTTCTCATCTGGCGCAGGATGCTTCCAAAACAGGTCTAGCGCTTGTCTGCCACGATGTTGCGGTGCATGCCGGCAACGGTTTGTGGGTGATGGATTCCTGGGGGCGTCCGGCGCTAGCTCTACATCGTATCCCAGCTCCCCCTTTTGTTTGCTCAGCTTACTCTGATGTCATGAGGACGCCCTCAGCTGATTAAAGGGTCTGGAACGGATACATGTCACTCCGCTACGGCCAGGCGAAACAGGCTCTCCGATGCTTGTGTTAAGATCACCAAGGAACCCTCACTATAAGTCAAACCCCCCACTTCCCGGCACCCCCCTGTTTCTGGCACCCACAAAAACGCGAAAATCCACCACAACGCAATGCCCACCCCCAACCTCCTTTTATCACAACATTTTCAATTCGAGTCCAAATGGGCTCATTTTTTGCACATACCTTCTTCTATATCTAATGCCTCAATATACCGAAGATCAGCTTCGTCAGGCTCTCGAGGACATCTCAAACGGCAAGAGTCAAAGAGAGCCTCATTGGAGTATGGGATACCACGATCAACCCTCCAACTACGTCTCAAGGTGGTCAGACTAGGAAAGTGGCTTTTGCTGACTGGCAGAGGCTGTCTCCTGACCAGGAGAGAGTAGCTGGCACAATGGGTTCGCATTCAGGCTTCGCTGGGCCTCGCACCAACGCACCAACAGGTGAAGGAATTCGCAGAGCGAGTTCTGGCTGCTGCTGGGGATACCAAACCATTAGGAAAAGGCTGGATCTATGCCTTCGTGAGAAGGAACCCTATCATTAAGGTTCAGAGAAGTCGTTCCATCGATTCTAGACGCGTTAATGGGGCATCTACTGAGGTCATTAGGAACTGGTTTAAGTTCCTTGCTATCCCTGAGATCAAGGACATCAAACCAGCCAACAGATATAATATGGATGAGACTGGCATCCTCGAGGTCAGGAGCTAATGGGTTAGTGCTGGGCATGGCTGAGACGACGTCTGTTCGCAAGAAACAACCTGGGTCGAGGGCATGGGTCTCTATCATTGAGTGTATCTCAGCCTTGGGTAGGGCACTTCGTCCTCTTATCATTTTCAAGGGAAGACGGTCCAACAACAGTGGTTTCCATTACATCTGGTTCCATACGATGGGTGGGAGTTTACAGCAACAGATAATGGCTGGACTACAGACTTAACTGCCATTGAATGGTTAGAGAAGGTGTTTATCCCACAGACTATGCCCGAGGCTGAGGGCGAGGCTCGACTGTTGATTGTGGATGGGCATGGAGTCATACGACGACAGACTTCATGTGGAATTGCTATATTAACAATATCCATTTACTGTTCTTACCACCACACTCTCATGTCCTCCAGCCACTTGACCAGTCTGTCTTCAGCCCTGTTAAGTCAGCCTATCGGAAGGAGCTCGGTTACTTGTCTCAATGGAACGACTCTACCATTATAGGTAAAAGGAACTTCCTGGACTGTTACCAGAGGCTCGACTTGCTGGTCTATCAGTCTCGAACATCAGAAGTGGTTGGAAGTGGACTGGTCTACACCCTGTAGCGATGGTTAAGCCCCTGATGAACCTATGGTATTACCTGAGCCTTCTGCTAAGCCCACCACACCCAAACCAACCAGTCGGGGCAAAAAGCGATGCCATAATGGTCAACAAACTACCCCTGTTGAGCCATGGGATTCTGCTTCCTCTGCAGTGGTCTGGTCGACACCCAGGAAGCTGGCAGAGCTCAGCGGTCAACTGCACTATACACCCAACTCGACAATGATACCAGCACTCAACGGCTGCTGTTCAGGAAGGTGAAAAAGGCTTCACAGAGCAGGCCTGGCAACTGGGCAGCTGCCCAGCAGCAGCTGGCTCACCTGAGGGCTCAAGTTACCAACGCTGCAGTTAGGAAGAGGAAGACTGTTCAGATCGATCCCAACACGAAGTTTGCGAACATCAGGGATATCCATCGGGGGTGAAAAGGAGGTTATTACGGCTGAATCCAGCGACTCTGAATGCCCTAGTGAGGCTGGCAGTTGTATTGTAGTGGGTGTGGTTGAGGATCAATAGTTAATAGTAATGAGGAGGTTGGGTTGTGATCCCATCGTTTTTGTGGGTGCCAGAAACAGGGGGGTGCCAGGAAGTGGGGGGTTTGACTTAACACCAATCCGCATCATCACTCCGACGGGACTCGCAGGAGTGTCCCGCTGCCGGGTCCGTGTGGATCTCGGAGTTTGCGGCTAGGAGACCATACGCTTCGGCCGGCGTTCGGTATCGACCCCCGAGGGAGCGTGAGGGGCGGGTACATGCCGATAATCATCAGCGCGCATACGTCGCTTAGAGTCTTGAGCGATCATTTGTCAAGATGCAATGTTTTCTTAAAGAATTACACATTCATATCATATTACTTCATTAATTTGGCCAGATTTGCGGT